AGTGGGAAGCAGCTCCCTGGGCTTGCTCCCATAATCACGGAAAATCCAATCCCTATACTTAGTTTATTTATTTTGATTTAATTTAAAATTTTAATTGTATTTATTCTGGAGACAGGGCCTCACTCCATTATCCAGGCTGGAGTGCAGTGGTACAATCACAGCTCACTGCAGCTTCCATCTCCCAGGCTCAAGTGATCCTCCTGCCTCAGCCTCCCAAGTAGCTGGGAACACAGGTGTGAGCCACCATGCCAAGATAGTTTTATGTAGAGACAAGGTTTTGTCATTGCTGCCCAGGCTGGTGCTAAACTCCTGGGCTCAAGTGAGCCTCCTGCTGGGATTACAGGCATGAGCCACTGCACCTGGCCTAATTCTTCTTTGCTTTTCTTTTTTGAAGCAGAGTCTTGCTCTCTGTTGCCCAGGCTGGAGTGCAGTGGCACGATCTCAGCTCACTGTAACCCCCACCTCCCAGGTTCAAGCCATTCTCCTTCCTCAGTCACCCGAGTAGCTGGGGTTAAAGGTGTGTGCTCCCATGCCGGCTAATTTCTATATGTATATTTTTTGAGACGGAGTCTTGTTCTGTCTCCAGGCTGGAGTGCAGTGGCGAGATCTCGGCTCACTGCAATCTCCATATCCTGAGTTCAAGTGATCCTCCTGCCTCAGTCTCCCGAGGAGCTGGGACTGTAGGTGCCACCACACCTGGCTAATCTTTGTATTGTTAGTAGAGACAGGATTTCACCATGTTGGCCTGGATGATCTCTTTTTTTTTTTTGAGACGGAGTTTCGCTCTTGTTACCCAGGCTGGTGGGCAATGGCGCGATCTCGGCTCACCGCAACCTCCGCCTCCTGGGTTCAGGCAATTCTCCCGCCTCAGCCTCCTGAGTAGCTGGGATTACAGGCATGCGCCACCATGCCCAGCTAATTTTTTTGTATTTTTAGTAGAGATGGGGTTTCACCATGTTGACCAGGATGGTCTCGATCTCTTGACCTCGGGATCCACCCGCCTCGGCCTCCCAAAGTGCTGGGATTACAGGCACGAGCCACTGTGCCCGGCCATAATTTCTGTATTTTTAGGAGAGGCAAGGGTTTCACCATGATGGCCAGGCTGGTCTTGAACTCCTGATCTCAAGGGATCCGCCCACCTCAGTCTCCCAAACTGCTGTGATTACAGGTGTGAGCCACTGCATTCGGTGGTAATTCTCTATTTAATGTCACTCCGTGAGGGTCCTGCTTCCTCAATCACACAGATGAATTTTACCCTAACAGATATATACAGATGTATCTAATGTTGATGTCATTTTAAATCAGTGGGGAATGGAAAGATGATTCATTCAACAAACATCACTGAAAAAAACTAGTTGACATATTTGGAAAATACATATCTTAATGTTCTTCATAAAAATGTTTTAAAACCTCAAACTATAAACATACTGAGAAAAGTAGACTATGGGTATAACCCTGGAATACAGAAACAAAATGCAAACGGATAAGGGTCAAAACGTAAATTTATCAAATTATCAAATAAATCGAAATTATAAGTTACTTAGAGGCTGTTTTTCAGGTTTGACCTACAGATTGTTAAAATAAAAATTCTGGCCGGGCGTGGTGGCTCAAGCCTGTAATCCCAGCACTTTGGGAGGCTGAGGCGGGCGAATCACGAGGTCAAGGGATCAAGACCATTCTGGCCAACAGGGTGAAACCCCGTTTCTACTAAAATACAAAAAATTAGCTGGGTGTGGTGGTGCACGCCTGTACTCCCAGCTACTTGGGAGGCTGAGGCAGGAGAATTGCTTGAACCCAGGAGGCAGAGGTTGCAGTGAGCCGAGATCGTGCCACTGCACTCCAGCCTGGCACCTAGTGACAGAGTGAGACTCTGTCTCAAAAACAAAACAACAACAACAAAATTCTAAGGCTGGGTGCGGAGGCTCATGCCTGTAATCCCAGCACTTTGGGAGGTCAAGGCGGGCAGATCACAAGATAAGGAATTAGAGATCGGCCTGGTCAAAATGGTGAAACTTCGTCTCTACTAAAAATACAAAAATTAGCTGGTGTGGTGGTGGGCACCTGTAATCCCAGCTATTTGGGAGGCTGAGGCAGGAGAATCACTTGAACCCAGGAGGTGTAGGTTGTGGTGAGCCACGGCTCCATTGCACTCCAGCCTCAGTGACAGAGCTACACTCCATCTCAAAAAAAAAAAAAAAAAAAAAAATTCTAGGTAGCTGGGCTCAGTGGTATAAGCCCGTGTTCCCAGCTCGGGAGGCTGAGGCAAGAGGATGGCTGGAGCCCTGGAGTTCAAGGCTGTGGTACACTATGGTCACGCCTGTGAATAGCTGCTGTACTTCAGCCTGAGTAACGTAGTGATATCCTGCCTCAAAAAAACCTCAGAGATTCACTGTGAGTCAAGGCATCCAGCTATATGCTAAAGTTGGGCAAATTTTAAAAATGGAGAGAAAAAGAGAGAAAAAGATAGACAGACAGAATACTGGTGCTTGAATGGAGCTTCGTGGGCCTGGTATGGAGCCACCAACCTTCGGCCACAATGGGGAATCAGGATTCCTTCTTGGCTAGACAGCAGCTACAGGTCAGGAGACAGCTGAAGAGCTAGATGTCTCTGGAGACAAAGAGCTCAAGCTTGGAGAACAATAAAGAACCTCCCCCAACTGCATCCGTCAAGGACTCACTCTGCTGCAATGCTGACCATTCCTGCTCAGTCTGCAGTCAGAAACTCTCCGGCTTTATCTCCCATCAGTCTACTGCGGTTTTCCCTTTCCAGGCCTTCTATGATTTGTCATCAAAAAAGACAACCTCTACTTTTTTTTTTTTTGGATTTTGATAAACACTGAAGAAGGTGGAGCTGTTAAATTTATCTTGGGGAAACCTCAGAACTGGTCTGTTTGGTGTGGTGGAACCTCTTGCTGCTTTCAATACACGATTAGTAATCAACTGTTTTGTATACTTGTTTTCAGTTTTCATTTCGACAAGCAAGCACCGTAGTAACAGCTATTAGAATAAAATCTCGTAACTATTATGAAGAAATGACCCAGGGCTCTGCTTAGGCAGTTCCCACAGGCTGTCATCACCTGTCTCCCCTGTTTTGACAGCGTCCTTCTGACTGTAGCCCCACGAGTCCTGGGCTGGCTCACTGCTCCCTTGCCTCCTCCAGGCAGAGTGAGTTGCTCTCTGACACGTCCACCTGTCTTCTCCCCCAGCGTGCACATCACAGTCATAGTGACTATGTACTATCTCCTGCCTCAGAAGACTGAGCTCCTGGGACCATGGATTGGGCTCATGCTCATCCCTGCAGCCCCATCCCTCTCTACACAGGCCCAACATACGGTCAATGTGGAACTAAGTCTTGGTCTCCCTGATGACGGGCGTTCCCTGCCTCAACCTGTTCCACACGCAGATGCCTGATCACATCCTAAAGCAAAGTTGATTATGCCACCCCCAACTCAAGATTGTTTCCTGGCTGACTTTCGATTTTGAAACTCAATTGTTAGCATTCGGGCCTCGAACGTGGTGCACCCAGGACCGTTAGAATAAATGGCGAGGAAAGGTTGAGGTGAGAGTCCACGTCGGGGTGGACGTTAGGCAAACTGATCCTAAGTAAATTGAGAGCCCAGTGAAGCACACGATTTCCTCTCTCCCGCTCTTCCTCAAACACTCAAGCACCATGTGTCAGTTTCTGCGCTGAGTCTTAACAAAAGACCCCAAAGAGACACAGACCTTGTTCCGTCTCTCCATGTGGGCTGTTGTCTCAATCCAGTGGTATGCTGCTCAATGTTTAACAACTGACTTTCTGGGAGGAAAATTTTTAAAAAGCCCCGATTTCTACGGTTTGCCAATTGCTATGGTGTAAATATTCCCACCACAGCTGATTTAAAGTCTCCAATATGATGTCATGGAACACAGAGCTGGAAAAAAACGTGCACCAGCGTATCATTACATAGTATGCCCATCATACAAATACGATCGATGTTAATCACTCCAAGAACAGAGAGTCGTAAAACAGCAAAATAATTTGCCAGTGGTAAATTGAGTGTTTTCTTCCTTTATTTACTTACTTATTTATTATTATTTTTGACACAGAGTCTCGCCTTGCTCTGTCTCCTAGGCTGGAATGCAGTGGTACAATCTCAGTTCACTGCAACCTTCACCTCCCGGTTTAAGTGATTCTCCTGCCCCAGCCTCCCACCTACCTGGGATTACAGGCATGCACCATGACGCCTGGCTAATTTTTTTTTTTTTTTTTTTTTTTTGAGACAGAGTCTTGCTCTGTCGCCAGGCTGGAGTGCAGTGGTGCAATCTCGGCTCACTGCAACCTCCACCTCCCGGGTTCAAGCGATTCTCCCGCTTTAGCCTCTGGAGTAGCTGGGACTACAGGCGCCTGTCACCACACCCAGCTCATTTCTGTATTTTTAGTAGAGATTGGGTTTCACCATGTTGGCCAGGATGGTCTCCATCTCCTGACCCCATGATCCACCCACCTCGGCCTCCCAAAGTGCTGGGGTTACAGGTGTGAGCCACCGCGCCGCCCTCTACCTCTGTTTTTAATACAATGTATTTAATTGTAGACTTGTAAAATTTATTTGTAAATAATGACGTCAAAAATGTATTTAACATCCACCTTGCAAAATTTCCGAAAATCTAACCACGCGCTCTAGCGAATCCAGCACTGCCTTCCCATGCGGTTTTTGACGGTGCCCATTTTACTTTGTCACGTTTGGGGCTTTTAGTGGTCAGGACACACGCAAAGCCTGGAAGAGGAACGAGGCCAACCGGAGCGACAAAGCCCGGTTGCAGTCCCTAACGCGGCCACCGGGGGGCGACAGACACAGGCCAATGCGCCGCTGGGGACCGGAGGCCCGCTCGCCGGCTTGGCCTCTTCTCCTCCCGCAAGGAGGACTGAGACGCTTTGCCCGATATTCTGGGGTGGCCCGGCACAGGGGCGGTGGCGGGGGTCTGGGGCGCCGAGGGGCCGCTCCTCACCCGGACTTAGGTACCTGGTGTTGAGAACCAGCGCTCTCCATCCGCAGTGTCCCAAGTGGCTCCGGACACCGTGCCAGCTGACTCTGGAGACCGCCATAACCCCTACCCGGCAGCCTCTGCGGCCGGAAGTCGGCTCGGCCGGTGCTCGGCCTCCCTCCCGCAGCTCCCGCGTTTCCGCAGGCTGAGTGTCCGCCCAGGTGCAGGTCATTGGCTTCGCTGGCTGCAGTTCATCACCGGACAATTAGCTTATGATCTTCCCGAATCCGAAGACCAGCTGGAGTGCTGAGGAGGAACTGGGGACGGCAGCTTCCTCCTGAGTCACCTCGAGACGGCAGCCCGCGGGGAAACGCAGGGAAGGAGACCAGGCTGCCTTCCTTGGGCGGAAACGCCTGGAGTTTATTCTATTTATTTATTTATTTTTTGGAGACGGAGTTTCGCTCTTGTTACCCAGGCTGGAGTGCAATGGCGCGATCTCGGCTCACCGCAACCTCCGCCTCCTGGATTCAAGCAGTTCTCCTGCCTCAGCCTCCCAAGTAGCTGAGACTGAAGGCGCCTGCCACCATGCCTGGCTAATTTTTTGTATTTTTAGTAGAGACGGGGTTTCACCATGTTGACCAGGATGGTCTCGATCTGTTGACCTCGTGATCCACCCGCCTCGGCCTCCCAAAGTGCTGGGATTACAGGCGTGAGCCACCGCTCCCGGCCAAGCCTGGAGTTTAGATGAAGAAGCATGGATTCTTCTCTAGACCTCCTGCCAACTTTTTACCTGACTTTGGGCGAAACATTTAACTCTCTGCTGGCCTTGGTTTCTTTAGTAAACACGGACTCCTGCCCCGTCCAGCCTTTTTAAAGTTTATATTTTAATTTTTTTGGGAGTCTCTGTCACTCAGGCTGGAGTGCCAGTGGGGCGATCTCAGCTCACTACAGCCTTGAATTCCTGGGCATTCCCCTTTCTTGTTGGCAGACAGTGCCCACTTCTCCAAGGAATTACTCCAGTGCTTCATCCAACCAGACTGGACACAGCCTACTGTGTTGGTCCTGCTCCGCTGATGGTGGCTCCCGGAAATAGCCTCAAAACAAGCAGCTTGGGAGGCTGAAGCGGGTGGATCACGAGGTTGAGAGATAGAGACCATCCTGGTCAACATGGTGAAACCCCGTCTCTACTAAAAATACAAAAAATTAGCTGGGCGTGGTGGCGCGTGCCTGTAATCCCAGCTACTCGGGAGGCTGAGGCGGGAGAATTGCCTGAACCCAGGAGGCGGAGGTTGCGGTGAGCCGAGATCGTGCCATTGTACTCCAGCCTGGGTAACAAGAGCGAAACTCCGTCTCAAAAAAAAAAAAAACAAAAAAACAAGCAGCTGATAAGACAAAACTGAGTTGTTGCCTATCATGCTAAGGGGAAAGCATTATCTTGAAAGAGCCATTGTAGAGCGGATGTGGGGAGGGCAACACTGGAGTAGTGAGGTTTAGGGGGTTGCTTTCGGGCAGGTCCTTTGATGTAGGGCTTAATTACGGCTGGGTAAGGCTCACCTTATAATAGTTCAGGATTGTTGGTCACAGTAGTTTAGTATTGGTGGTCACGATGCAGTGAGGGCTTTAAAGACTCTTGGAGCTTTCTTTGATGCTACCCATTGAAGAGCTGCGTGGCTTTTATGAATAAATGGATTTTCCTGAACTCAAGCAGTAAGGTTATTTGCAACTTTTGTCTTCCTGGCCAAGTGTTTCCTGGAATGGTAAAGTCACGATAATGCAGTCATATTATTTCCCTTCAGCAACTGTGAGCCAGAGTACTCTGCTATTTGTACCCAGAGGCACCCTGTTATGGTTTCCTTGTGTGTAAGATGGGGATTATATTGCTGGGAGAAGGGGAGGAGCTGGGCATGTAGCAACACGTCGTAGCCTTTCGGTATTACAGCAATGCAGGGCTTACGAAAATGTCTGGGATCTGAAAAATTATTCTTACTCTCAAATAGGAAATGGAGTTGCAAAATGGAATTAAACAGCTGTTTGCTAAATGTCTCCTAGACACAATTATGACCACTAGTCAAGTGTTATACCCAGGTGAGTTAGATGGAACAGTGCCACGCTCTGAGTTTCAAATGACGAGTCCTTTATTTTCAGCCGGCACCCGAGAGATGGCTCATACTCAAAATTCTCTCTGCCCTGAGGAAGGGGCTGGATTATCTTTTATACCTTGATTTAGGTAGGGGAGGGGGCGCCTAGCTGGAGCAGAGTTGACAGAAGCAGAACAAGCAAGTTAGGTAAGGAGGTTGGTAACTAGGAGGCAGGAGGTTCTCATGATTGTTGATTTTTTAAAGAGGGTACACACAGGCGGTTCCCATGATTGCCAGTTACCAAGAGGGGTATTCGATACTTGTCATATAAACAATCAAAGGGGGGGGCATTCACAATGGCAAGTGGGTTTGCCAAGCAGGCTATGGTTACAAAGGTTATATGTTTCTATAGTTCCAAGTACAGCAGGACCCAGGTATGCACTTAAGGGAGGAGTGGCAGGAGGGGTAAGGCGGAGGTCACGATAGAGTCTGTCCGGCTAACACAGGGCAGGTTAGCAGAAAGTACAACCCAAAGCGCGTGGTTATGGGTTCACCGCATTGACTCTGCAGAGGGAGGCGCAAGCTCATGTGTTTGAAGCCACATGATAGGGGCTTCAATGCTAGGACTGCTCCAGACTAATCAAGGTCTTAAAGTGGCCCTGTGACATTTGAGTCCTGGCCTTTCTCCTTCTGAGCCGTGTGACTCGGGACCAACTCTTCCTTCTCTGAGCTAATCTCCTCATATGTACAGTAGGGAAGACAGTGCTTGGGGCAGAATATGAAGGGTGAACTGAGGCAATGTGTTGAGTACAGTAGCTAACAGTTTTTGTTTATTTATTTATTTTTATTTATTTATTTTTGAGACAGAGTCTCGCTCTGCTGCCAGGCGCCAGCCTGGAATGCAGTGGTGCAGTCTCAGCTCACTGCAACCTCCACCTCCCAGGTTCAAGCAATTCTCCTGCCTCAGCCTCCCCAGTAGCTGTGACTACAGGCGTGTACCACCATGCCCAGCTAATTTTTGTATTTTTTAGTAGAGATGGGGTTTCACCTTGTTGGCCAGGATGGTCTTGATCTCTTGGCCTTGTGATCTGCCCACCTTGGCCTCCCAAAGTGCTGGGATTACAGGTGTGAGCCACCGCGCCCAGCTGTTTATTTATTTATTTTTGAGATGGGAGTCTCACTCTTGTCACCAGGCTGGAGTGCAGTGGCATGATCTCCACTCACTGCATCCTCCGCCTCCCAGGTTCAAGCGATTCTCCTGCCTTAGCCTCCTGAGTAGCTGGGACTACAGGTGCATACCACCACGCCCAGCTAATTTTTGTATTTTTGGTAGAGACGGGGTTACACCATGTTGGCCAGTATGGTCTCAATCTCTTGACCTTGTGATCCACCCGCCTTGGCCTCCGAAAGTGCTGGGATTACAGGCATAAGCCGCCACCCCCAGCCAGTAGCAAACAGTTTTTGGAACTGAGGCCCAGCTGATCCTGGGTGGCTTCAGTGCTGCAAACTGTGGATCTGGGACAACAGACCCTGAGAGACATCATGGACCCACAGGTAGCAAGTCTGTAAGGACTCAGGGTTAATCAGGGTGGGAGAAAGCAAGAGAAATGAGGATGACCTTAACCACTATCCCAGCGCAGGGAGCCTGGGTCTTGTTCAGGTCGGTCCTGCACTGACCCGCATATTTAACAACCGGCTCTTTACAGGCATGGAAAAATCAGAACAGTCTTGCTGGAGACGCCGAAGGCCCCGTGTGAACACAGACATTCACTCTTTAAGTGCCAGATTTTGGGGGAAAGTCTAGTGGAGAAACGAGCAGCTGGGCAGTAAGGGGCAGCAGGGGACTTGGGGGGAGTGGCTCTTCATCACCCCACATGGATGCTCAGTTCGGCTCTAACAGGAGGCAGAGGTTGCAGTGAGCTGAGATTGAGCCACTGCACCCCAGCCTGGGTGACAGAGCAAGACAAAAAAAAAAAAAAGAAAAAAAGATATTTCAACGTATTCACCGTACACTTGTAGTCAGATAAAGAATGCGGAAGTGAATTCGCCAGTGGCTGCAGAGCTATCAGAGCTCTTGATACCCAGGGCAGCATTTCTAGGGTTATTTACATCACTATCAGTTTTCTGCCAATGAGCTTCTGCCTCTACACGCCGCTGAAGCAAGGTGAGTACCCTATAGGATGGGGTCATCCCTGGCGGCTCCAGCTTCTGGTTGAAAGAATATACAATCATTTCAGTTGCTCGTTTCCTGTCTTCCTTACATTTCCCTGCAGGGTGAGTAAAAGTATAACAGGGAGCGTGTCACTTAAACCAAGCCCCGAAGAGACCTGTCAGCTCTGAACCGGGATAGATGGGGCCGCGTGTGCGAAGGCTGATGAGAGTGAGCTGGGCAGAGGGATCATCGGGAGGCAGAGCGGTCAGCAGGGGCTGACGCCGGTGGCTAGATGAGAGTGAGCTGGGCAGAGGGATCATCAGGAGGCAGAGCGGTCAGCAGGGGCTGACGCCGCCAAGCCCCGAGGGAGGAGGCCAGGAGTTGGAGGATCTCCTGAGTGCAGGGCCCTGCTAGACACAGTTAAACTACGAAGTGCCGCAATCTGATTCATGTTGTGCCAAGCAGCTCTGATTGCTGAGAGAACAGACCTGAAGGCCCCAGGGGACCTGCCCGCCTGTTGCACTGTCTGGAGAGATGAACGGGGTCCTGTGCCCATGGAGGGAAGTGCCTGGGTCCACCAACTCCTTCCAGGCCTGACTCGCTGACGGACGGATATGGGTGGGGAGGAAAAGGACCAACAGGGCACTGTCCGGGCTAGCAGCTGGAGAGCTGGGCGAGTGGGAACGCCATTTTCTGAGCTGGGAAGCCCGAGGGAGGGTTGGATTGGGGTGACTCTCTACATTCCCTACTTCCAGATGCCTGTTGCACGTCCAAGTCCCCAGCGCCCAGATCATGGCTTGAAGGGACAGCTGTGGGAGTGGAAGTGGGGGCTCCACCAGCACAGAAGGGTGAGCCCATCTCAGCTGCTGACTGACTTTCCCCACACACATGTGCCTCTCTGCCCCAGAGCTGTCTGACCTCCTGGTGGAGAAACTCCACACTCTGATGTATCATGAAGCCACTCATTAGCAGTGATTAGTGGAGTCACTCATTTCCCTGGAAGGATGAGGCGGAGGAGGACCGGGGTTGCAGGTGGCTCCGCACCCTGCGGGGGTGGCCAGAGCTGGTTTCTCTGCCTCCTCTCCCGGCAGGCATGATGTGGCTGCCCAGGTCACATTGGGGACTATGTCATAGCTAGGCAGGTGGCCCTGAAGGCAGAGACCTGCAGATCCCAGCTCTGCACAGCTCACTCTGGAACTGAACTTGAGTTCCTCATCTCGAAGCACCCTCAGATGTGGCTAATCCATGTATGGTCAGCCATCTCCTCTCCTGATCTGCAGACTCTCTGAAGCCCATAGACAGCCCCACTGTGACCTCTGATCTCAGGACTCTGAGGTCCTGCCCTTCCTCTGCGTCACCGATGAGTCACAGACAGTGTAGGAGCTGCCCAGCCTTGAGACGGGCACCCAGGGGGTCACCTGGTCCCGCTTGCCCAGTTCCCCACTTTGACTCTTCCCATGGGCTGTATTCCAGCTGCCCAGGCTCTGTCCCGTCCTTCCCACCCTCCCTGCTTCCGGGCAATGGAAGGCGCAATTCCTCCCGACCGAGCTCTCAGCGTTGGGGCTTTGAGATGCAGCAGGAGTCAGTTCTGGCTGGTCCCAGGTAGAGACAGAGGATGCTGGGCTGCTTGAGTCTCGCTTTAGACGTACTGGACACATGATGGGCGACTTCAGGCCATCCTCTGGATCTCCCTGGGGCTTCAGGAAGCTGCTGAGCTGTGGGAAATCCAGGCTGGGTTTCTGGTGGAAGGGGAGGAGGGGCAGAGCCTGGGGGCCGGGACTGAGATGGACAGAGCTGAGGCCTCAAGGAGCCCATGGTGGAAGCAGAGAAAGATGTGAGGTCAAGGGGCATGGGAACGGTAGGGAGGACTCTGGGGCCTAGGACTGGGCTGGAACCCAGTTTGACCCGAGTCTCCGAGAGGCAGGGAAGCCCTAAGTGCTGCAGGTGAGGAAGGAAACAGGTTTCCGGGGCAGCTCAGAAGCCTGATCAGATGGAGGGACATCCCCATGGGAAGGTGGCGAAATGCCAGCTGGTGAGCAGTGTCACCTCAGCAGGTCCTGCAGCATCCCAGGGGCCAAACAGGCCAGATTTCTCAAAACCATTAGCACCCCAGGAAAACCCTGCCCACAGCCAGCCCTCACCCTCCTCCCCACCAGCCTCCTGAGTCCCCTCCATGCCTCTAACTGTCGGATCCCAGCTCGACTCTGCTGCAATGGACAGTACCTGCCCCTGCCCTTAAGCAGAGGCTTCTCCATGGGGCCCAGGAGGACCTCAGCCCAAGCACCCAGCCCCTGTGCCAGAGTCACATGGCCAGTTCCTGCAGGGGCTCCCTCAGCCTGGGACACTCTCTACGGGTCCCCTGGCCGCCTGCATCTCTGCTTTTTGGCAGTCCAAGTCCTGTTGTGTTTGCAGGTGAGTGAGTGAGGTGTGTGGGACTCTGGCTGTCCACGATGGAAAATGTCACCCGCTCGTTGGTCACCTCAACAGCCTCTGGACTTTAAATCCGCCCCCAGGCTCCAGATGCCACGTTTCCCTCCAGCGGGACCTCTGCCCTGAGCTCACCTGCCCTGGACCTCGTCTCCAGCTAAACAGATCCAGAGTCACTCCTGATCCTGCCCCCCAACCCTCGCCCCAGGCAGCCACTGCCCCCACTGCATCAGCCCTTGGTCCTTTGTCCTGTCTGCTTGGCCTCAGAGAAAGATCTAGAATCCATCCTTCTCCCCACATCATCTTCTGTCTCCTGGGTGTGACGGGTAGCCCTGCTTCACCCTGGCCTCCCCACCACCAGGGTCACACTCTGTTGCCCAGGCTGCAATAGTGCAGTGACATAATCAGCCAGGTTAATGAGGCCACTGCTGGGATCCTGCTGAAATGCAGCCAGAACTGGAGGGGCTCCAGTTCCCTGATGAAGCCAAAGGACTTGCAAGCTTCACCTCCTCTGCCACTCTCTCCCTGCACCCCGGGGCCTCCCACCTGGGGCCACACCTCCTGGCCTTGGCCTTTACTGTCCTGGGGCTGGAGCAGTCCCCCAAGTGCTCCACACAGCTCTCTCCTATCTTCAGTCTCTGCTCAAATGTTGCCCTCACTGGGAAGAACTGCTGGGGCCGCTTAAGACTGTGTCCCTCCATCCTCACCCACCCCGACCCCATGCCTCTTGTCTGCTTCAGTTTCCCCCACTGACTTCATCAGCTATTAGACTAAATGATTAAAACATTTTAAAAACTTTATAGAGAGGGGATCTCACTACATTGTCCAGGCTGGTGCTGAACTCCTGGGCTCAGGCGATCGTCCTGCCTTAGACTCCCAAAGTGTTGGGATTACAGGCATGAGCCACTGTGCCAAACCTAAATGATTAAAAAAAATGTTTTTTATATATTTGGAAGATATTAGGCCAGGTGCAGTGGCTCACACCAGCACTTTGGGAGGCCAAGGCAGGTGGATCACCTGAGGTCAAGAGCTCCAGATCAGCCCGGCCAACATGCCAAGACCCTGTCTCTACTAAAAATACAAACATTAGCCAGGTGCTGTGGTGCACGCCTGTGGTCCCCGCTACTCGGGAGGCTAAAGCCCAACAATTGCTTGAGCCCAGGAGGTGGAGGGTGCAGTGAACCGAGATCATGCCACACTGCACTCCAGCCGAGGTGACAGAGTGAGACTCCATTTCAGAAAAAAAAAATTTAGAGGGTGCAAGCACATTTTTGTTACGTGGATAGATTGTGTAGTGTGAAGTCTGGGCTGTGAGTGTCTATCACCCAAATCATGAACGGTGGATCCAATACGTAATTTCTCCTCCCTCGCCCCCTCCCACGGTTCCAAGCCTCCAGTGTCTGTTGATGGACACTTAGGTGGATTTCACGGCTCTGCTGCTGTGAACACGCGAGTGCGGGTGTCTCTGTGGTATAATGACTCCTTTTCCTGTGTGTGGATGCCCAGCAGCGGGGTTGCTGGTCAAATGGCTGCTGTAGTTTCAGTTCTTTGAGAAATCTCCGTGCTGTTTTCCATAGAGCGAAACGATTTAGTGACTTTTTAAAATTCTCTGTTTCATCCGATGTCCATGTGGCTTTCGTCTGCTCACTGCCGAATCTCAGCACTCAGGACAGTGCTGGCACACAGGAGGTGCTCAGCAAATGCTTGTTGACTGAGTTAAGGAGGGCAAGGAGGCTGTCTTATTTTCCTTGATAACTCCAGCACCTGGTGGGTGGACTCCGTAGTCTTTGGTGGGGCAATGAATGGGTAGCCCTGTTCAAAGCAGCTCCACAGAGCCGGGGGTGGTGGCTCACGGCTGTAATCCCAGCACTTTGGGAAGCTGAGGCGGGCGGATCACGAGGTCAGGAGTTTGAGACCAGCCTACATGGTGAAACCCCGTCTCTACTAAAAATACAAACATCAGCCAAGTGTGGTAATGGGTGCCTGTAATCCCAGCTACTTGGGAGGTTGAGGCAGGAGAATTGTTTGAATTCAGGAGGCGGAGGTTGCAGTGAGCCCTGATTGTGCCATTGCATTCCAGCCTGGGCAACAAGGCGATAAGAGCAAGACTCTATCTCAAAAAAGAAAAATAAAAAAAGTAGCTCCCCGGACTCCTGGGCCCACATCTGAGATGCCACCATCAGTGAGTCACTTCTTTCACCAGTGGCAGCTGCTGTTAGCCCAGAAATGCCCCAGTGGCCCTGCCAGTCATCACTGCCCCAGTGCACATGGATCAGAGGCCCTGAGGCCAGGCTGGCAGGGAGCGGGGAGTGGGTGGCAGGGGCATGCGGCTCATCTGACTCTTGCACAGGCAGGGATGCTGGCCAGTGTGTGGGTCTAGCACTGGCAGGCGCTCAGTAAATATTTTGTTGAGTGAACGTTGAATCATGCCAAGGTCTCTCCCCTGTGGCGTTTCAGAGACTCTACCCTCTACACCCTGGTTATGAGGGAACTGGTCTCTGGGGCCTTTCTCCAGGACTTGTGCCAGGAAATCTTCATCCAGGTCCTCAGGGCTTCCCCCTGCTCCTCCTGGGCCCTTCTCCTCAGGGCGGTCTTCCTGGCCACCCCATCTCAGGGACAGTGGCATCTCGGGCAGGGCCCAAGGCTACCCTTGGGTCTCCAGGGCAGTGAGTCAGGTCTTCAGAAAGGTAGAAAAGCTGGAATGGAGAGGAAACCTGAGTGGGAGGCAGAGAGGGAGGCCAGAGCCTTCAATCCTCAGCCACTTGCAGACTTGCCTCTTCTACATTTTTTTTTTTTTTTCCGAGACGGGGTTTTGCTCTTGTTACCCAGGCTGGGGTGCAATGGCATGACCTCGGCTCACCACAACCTCCGCCTTCTGGGTTCAAGCCATTCTCCTGCCTCAGCTTCCTGAGTAGCTGGGACTACAGGCACGTACCACCATGCCCAGCTAATTTTTTTGTATTTTTAGTAGAGACAGGGTTTCACCATGTTGACCAGGATGGTCTCGATCTCTTGAGCTTGTGATCCACCTGCCTCGACCTCCAGTGCTGGGATTACAGGCATGAGCCACCGCGCCCGGCCCACATTCATACACTCGCTGAGCCCCAGGATGCAGCAGGCATTGACCACGATCCTGGGAGTCCACAGGGAGCCCCCCACCACCCACACTGTTCCCCCAGCACCCAGCTTCACAGTGGCCCTCCAGGGTCCAAGCTACCGCCCACCTCCTGGACAACTCACTGTCATCCGTCACCTGCCTCCCACTCCCAGGAGGACATGTGCTTCCCAAGCACAGGACCTGTGTCTTATTCATCATGTGTGTCCTGGTGCCCAGAGGGGCCTGGCATACAACAGGTGCTCAATACATATTTGCTGAGTGAACTGGGGAAGCCACCCACCTTACTTCAGAAGGCAGTGGGGTGGGGAGCAGGAGGGCCCCAACCACCCTGGGTGCAGAGCTGACCTGGGGACAGCGAGTAGGGTGGGGGCCCAGCTGACATTTCTGCTCAGGGGCGACACAGCCCCTCGCCTTGGCCACTCTGCGTTGTCTTTTCCTGCAGTTCCCCCAAACCCCCTCTGAGTTGTGGGACAGAGAATAACACATCCTCTGGGGCTCCCGAAGGCCCTGCTTTTTGACTTGTCTGTGGGTGGGGCAGGGCATGGCCTCTCTGCCACGAGAATGCAGTAACCCTTAACAGACCGAGAAGGTGGGCAGCAAAGAGTCCTCCCTCAGGTCAAATCACATCCTGCTCAGAGCGTGGAGCCCCTGAAGCAGCTGTGGTGGTCTGCCAGGCCCCGACCTCCGACTCGGCTGGGAGCAAGGTTGGGCACACCCCGGGCAGGATGAGGCACCTCCTCCTCCAGGCTCCCGAAGCCCCCCCGCCCCGGACACCGTGCAGTCCCAGCAGCCATCCCAAGAGTTGGGGTGCAGGTCCGGCTCCACCACTCACCCAGCAGTGGGGCATCCCAGGTGAGTCACTTAACCACCGTAGGCTGCCTCAGTTTCCTCATCTGCAAAGTGGGAATAATAAGGAAATTTGAGGATTAGGCGAGGTGACGCATGGCCCTCCTGAATGTTTGCTCTATTATATTATATGCATCCTCTATCTGTATCTGTATAAACATGTGTGTTACATTCACTGCTACACCTCCCCCCACACCCCCCACCCCCCGCCCTAGCAAGTGCTGCTGGAGGCTTGTTGATGAAATGGGTGAAGGGGTGCAGGCTCCTACCTCTGTGTGGAGGAGGAAGCCTGCTCTGCTGTGTGGGAGTGTCCCAAGTGTGGGGCACTGCGGGGCACTGTGGGGCACTGAGTCAGGGAAGGTCTCACAGGATCCAGCCCCAGGTTGCCATTGCTGCTGCTGGGTGGAAGCACCAAGAATCCACTCCCAGGACCCGAACCGGCACAGCCCAATTCAGCCCAGCTGCTCCTTGGCTCCTGGGAGTCCCAGCCCTTCCCGGGGCCCCTTCTCTCCCAACCCCCCGTTCACCCAGCCCTGGTGCCCATGGGCTCCTCCCCTTCCTGGGAGTTCAGGTGAGAGGTGAGTCCTCAGGTATCTGAATGGCAGGGCCAAGCCCCACCCGCAGGAAGGACTGGAGGGCAGCCACCAGGAGGCCACCTAGGTCGCCACTCACCTGATTCACAGCTTTTGGGAAGTGGGTTAACGGGATTCCCCGAGCCCTGGGTTGGGCCAGGTCTCTGGGCTGAGTCACAGGGGCCCGTCCCCCTACTGGTGGGAGCCTCCGGCACCCCCTTGATCCCTAAGGCCCTAGGACCTTCCCAACACCCAGTTCCCCAGACTTCAGCCACTCCAGACCCAAGTCATCCCCAGCCCAGAACCCCTTCCTTTCAGTGCCCTGGGACCTTTCTCTGCCCCTGGACAGTCAACGTTAGGACCATTGGGTCCAGGCTCCGTCCCCCGCCCTCCAGAGGCCACAGGCTGCACCCACAGCTGGAGCCTGGGGTCTCACCTAGAGCCCCCCCACGCCCTGTAGCGGCTGGCTTCCTCCCCGAAGCCCCGCCCCCTGCCCATGACCCACAGAGGGAGCCACCTGGGGACTGGTCTGACGGCATTCCGCCTCCTGGGATAAAACCTGGGGTGACCTGCAGGGAACCTACACACCCTGACCCGCATTGCCCTGGGTCCCTCGAGCCTGCTGCCTGCGCCCCTGCCCCACCAGCCACGGTGGTTTGTGGAGCCCCCCCAGCCATGGGTGGGGGCTGTCTCATCATCTTCACCCTGCTGAGGGTGCTGCTGCTGGCGGGTACGTCCGAGACTGCGCCTCCCTCCTCCTCCCGCCTTCTCCCTCCTCCTCCCGCCTTTTCCCTCCTCCTCCCTCCCTCCCCGCCTGGCTTCTCTCCTCTCTCTGCTTCTGCTCTCCGTTTATCTCTGGCTCCTTAACTGCTCGGTGCCTCGGTTTCTTCTACGGCTGTGAGGATTAAACAGAAAATGCAGCATGCCCACGCGCACCTCGGCCTCCAGTTACTGTCGTCCTGGTCGCCTTCACCTCCTCCCTCTCGCCTCCATGTTCTCCCATCTCCTCCTCCCTTGCCTCTGGGGCAGGAGGTTATGGGGAGGGCACCAGCAGCGTCCAGGCCGGAGGGGTTCAGGTCTGTGTCTCCCTCGGAGGATCTGGTCCTGGTCGCCGGCAGACAGGCTGGACGGGAAGCTGCGGGAGGGCAGGGCCACAGCTGGGCCGCCAGGGCCTGGCCAGGCCCCAGGAAATGCCCTGCCGGGAGGGGCCCTGGGGGTGAGAGAATTGAGGAGCTCCCTGGGCACTGGAGGGATGGGGGTTCCCCACCACCAGGTACTCAGGGGGACCCCTCTTCACTGGGCACCGGGGGACTCTCCTTACTGGCTGCTGGGGGACCCGTCTTCACTGGACGCTGGGATCACTACTCACTGGGCGCTGGGACCCTCCTTACTGGGCGCTGAAACTCTCCTCACTGGGTGCTGGGATCACTACTCACTGGGCGCTGAAACTCTCCTCACTGGGCGCTGGGACCCTCCTTACTGGGCGCTGGGATCACTCACTGGACGCTGGGATCACTACTCACTGGGCGCTGGGACCCTCCTCACTGGGCGCTGGGATCACTATTCGCTGGATGCTGGGACCTCCTCACTGGGCGCTGGGATCACTATTCGCTGGATGCTGGGACCTCCTCACTGGGCGCTGGGATCACTATTCACTGGATGCTGGGACCACTATTCACTGGATGCTGGGACCTCCTCACTGGGCGCTGGGATCACTATTCGCTGGATGCTGGGACCTCCTCACTGGGCGCTGGGATCACTACCCCCTGGGATCTGGGACCCTTCCTGAGCATTGGGGGCACCTCACCACTGGGTCCTGGCGTCCCTCACTGGCCTGACCGATTCCTTCTCTCGCCCTCAGCCACCCTCAATGCGGCCAGGATACCTGGTGAGTGGAGGGGGCAGCTCTGACGGGAGGGGGCAGGGAGGAGGCCCAACCGCAGGCAGGGTGTGTGTGTCCCTCGCCTGGGAACCGTTCAGAAAGGGGCTGGGGTGATGCGGGAAGGAGCCGGAGGGACAGGGAGGCAGGAAGGAGACACTGATAGGAGGAGAAAGGCTTGAGAGGTGCTAGGACTGGAGGAGAGAGACCCAGGAATGTGAACGGAGCGGAGCGGGCCGGGTAAGGAAAGAGGGGGAGAAAGAGACCAGGTGCAGCCGACAGGGAGGGCGTGGGAGGGCCAGGGCCAGTGCCAGGGGAGGACCAGCGCAGAGCGCGGCTGGAGGAATGGAAGGCATTGGGGAAGTGGGCGGAGCTCGGGTGGGGGTGGGGTTTGGAGTGCAGGTGGAGCTTAGGGTGTGGGCGGAGCTCGGGTGGGGGTGGGGTTTGGCGTGCAGGTGGAGCTTAGGGTGTGGGCGGAGCTCGGGTGGGGGGGGGGTTTGGAGTGCAGGTGGAGCTTAGGGTGTGGGCGGAGCTCGGATAGGGGTGGGATTGAGTGCAGGTGGAGCTTAGGGTGTGGGCGGAGCTCGGGTGGGGGTGGGGTTTGGGGTGCAGGTGGAGCTTAGGGTGTGGGCGGAGCTCGGGTGGGGGTGGGGTTTGGAGTGCAGGTGGAGCTTAGGGTGTGGGTGGAGCTTGGGGGCCTGAACGGAGCTTGGGCTGTGGGCAGAGCTTGGGGTGCAGGCTTAGGGACTGGGATTCTGAGGGCGGGTTGTAGGAAGTTGGAGATGACAAAACTTGACTCTCCTCTCCAGTTCCCCCAGCCTGTGGGAAGCCCCAGCAGCTGAACCGGGTTGTGGGCGGCCAGGACAGCGACGACAGTGAGTGGCCCTGGGTCGTGAGCATCCAGAAGAATGGGACCCACCACTGCGCCGGCTCCCTGCTCACCAGCCGCTGGGTGATCACCGCTGCCCACTGTTTCAAAGAGTATGTGCAGCTCCCCTGGGGCACTTGCTCCTCCAGGGCCTGGGCTCCCTTCACAGGCTCTGCTTCTGGGCCTCTGTTCAATCTTGGTGCCCCTCAGTAGCGACCTGGATTCTACCCGGAAGCCTCTCCTGCCTTCAGGGGCCTTCATTCCCGCTCAGGCATCTCCTCCCCGACCCTCCTGGCTGATCCTCCCCTTCCCTTTCCTTCCAGCAACCTGAACAAGCCGTCCCTGTTCTCTGTACTGCTGGGTGCCTGGCAGCTGGGGAACCCTGGCTCTCGGTCCCAGAAGGTGGGTGTTGCCTGGGTGCAGCCCCACCCTGTGTACTCCTGGAAGGAGGGTGCCCGTGCGGACATCGCCCTGGTGCGTCTCGAGCACTCCATACAGTTCTCGGAACGGGTCCTGCCCATCTGCCTGCCTGACGCCTCTATCCACCTCCCTCCAAACACCCACTGCTGGATCTCAGGTTGGGGGAGCATCCAAGATGGAGGTGAGGCTTCTTCCTCTCCAACGTGGTTGGGGTGGATGGGGACAGAGGATCAGGATGGCAGACACTCGGGGACACAGACACCATAAGCAGCAAAAGGGTGGAGGCCAGAGGCAAAGCATGACAGAGATGGAAGAAGAGATGGGTTGTGATCCAGAAGAAACCTCTGTGGGCGATTTCAGGCCATTTCTTTTTTTTTTTTCTGAGGCAGGGTCTCACTCCGTCACCCAGGCTGGAGTGCAGTGGTATGATCATAACTCACTGCAGCCTCCGCCTCCCAGGCTCAACAATCTTCCCATTTCAGTCTCCCCGGTAGTCTGGCCTACAGGTGTGTGCCACCACATCCGGCTAATTTTTGTAGAGTCGGGATTTTGCCATGTTGGCCAGCCTGGTCTCAAACTCCTGGGCTCAAGCAATCTACCAGCCTCAGCCTCCCAAAGTGCCGGGATGATAGGTGTGAGCCACTGTGCCCGGACTCATTTCTACTTCAGAAGTGTCTTTGGCTATGTTTCGAGGCAGCAGCCAGCTCTGTGAAGCTATTCATTGATGCAGGAATGGCTGAAAGGAGGGACTAAGCGGAATGCAGGGTGACTGTAAAAAGAGGCCTGATTCCAGAGTGGGAACAGGCACCCCCTGGTGGCAGCATGCCACAATTGCGGGCAAAATTCTCAGGCGAAAATGCAGCCTCCTTAATTGTAAAATACAATTTTCAAACCACCTCTGGAGGCCTGGAAGACATCATCTTGAAACTCAAACTAGAGTACATAAAGCAAGAAGCAGGGAAGCAGCAAGAGAAAGCAGGATGACAGACTGACAGGCATAAGGATGATAGAGACTGGGCCAAGGAAGAGAAACATACAGGCAGAAATGAGGATAGATACAATGAAGACGGAGAGAGAGAGAGTTTGAGAGAGAGACAAAGAACACAGTGTAAGAAGATGACAATTTAACCAGATTCCAGAATAATTCAGAGAAATGACACCAGTTCAGGTGTGTGGGGATCCCACCGACTCTAAGGTTGCAGCCTCCCCATAATCTCTGTAGGGGCTTCTTCAAGAGCGAGAATTGCAGACTTACAGTCCACAATCTGCAGACCACAGGCTGTAGGAAAGGTGTGGGGATCCCTCAGGTCCTGGTAATTTTTGACATCGACTGGACATTTATTGAACACTTTTTCTGTGACAGTCCTGGTGCTGGATGAAGTAATGCAGTGTCTGAGACAGGGAAGGCTCTAACCATCTGTGGATATCAGAAAATTTATTGAAGAGGCAGAGTCCTAGGTTTTACACACTTGTTCTGATTCAGCAGGGCCAGAGGTGGAGATCTGGAATTTAGATTTTCTGAAAGCATCTTGGAAGAGCTAGAGAGCGAATCTGTTAGTATTTGAGAAACGCTGCTGAGGGGAATAGAGGGTGGGGTGGGGGGGATAGTCCCTTGAGGAGGCAACAAGTAGGGGAGGCCTCCAAGCCTGACTCTGTTCTCTTTCCTCCCAGTGCCCTTGCCCCACCCCCAGACCCTGCAGAAGCTGAAGGTTCCCATCATTGACTCGGAAGTCTGCAGCCGCCTGTACTGGCGGGGAGCAGGGCAGGGAGCCATCACTGAGGACATGTTGTGTGCTGGCTACTTGGAGGGGGAGCGGGATGCTTGTCTGGTAAGCACCCCCCAGCCAGGAGGACCTAGAGAAGGAGCCAGCATCAGCCATATCTCCACTGAGCCCCACCACCTACCTCTCCCTAGCCTCCTCCCCAGAACTGGCTGTGCCTGACAGCCTCCAGTCCCTATAGAACCAGCCTCGGCCTGGCTCAGCCACTCTCTTATACTTGTTCAGACACTAAACTGGGCATCCCAGCTGCACCGCCTCGCCCTCCAGGAGCTTGCATTCCCTTCAGGGGGCTTCCCCCGCCTCAGTGCCCAGAGCCAGCTCCAGCTCAGGGACTGTCTGGAAGATGGTCAGATAGTGCAGCGGCAGCACCCGGGCCTGGAGGTCCTGAGGCCTGGCTGCAGCTCCTACTCTGCCGCAGGGAATTCCCGCCTGGGTGGAGCTTGGGTCCTGCCCCCTCCAGGAAGGAGAAATAGGCTCCCGGGAAGGGGCTCATCTGTCCCCTGACAGGGCACGGGCCCTGGGTTCTGCCACCCCCTGTGCCATGGTGTTCCTAACCTCGCATCCTCTCCGCAGGGCGACTCCGGGGGCCCCCTCATGTGCCAGGTGGACGGCGCCTGGCTGCTGGCCGGCATCATCAGCTGGGGTGAGGGCTGTGCCGAGCGCAACAGGCCCGGCGTCTACATCAGCCTCTTAGCTTACCGCTCCTGGGTGGAGAGGATTGTGCAAGGGGTGCAGCTCCGCGGGCGCGCGCAGGGGAGTGGGGCCCTCAGGGCACTGAGCCCAGACTCCGGGTCCGCCGCGCGCTCCTAGGGCGCAGGGGTACTCGGGGCTCGGATCTGGAACTGGATCTGCGGCGGCCTCGGGCAGTTTCCCCTGCTGTAAATAGACCCAACTACCTCTGGGGGCTTCTGCATTCCCGGCCAACTGCTGCTGCCGAAAGAAGGCCCCGCCCCGCTCCGCTCGGCTCGACGTTCCGCTCTGTGGCCTCAGGCCCCGCCCCCACGACTCCAGGCCCCGCCCCCTTGCCCCAGCACCCTTGTGTATATAAATGTTAATGATTTTTATAGCTATTTGTAACCTTTCCCACATACCTTATTTATTCGTCCAATTTCAATAAATTATTTATTCTCCAGTGTCTGTTTTTTTCCCCATGCCTGGGTCACTGGAAAGCAAGGATCCAGAGGGGGTTAAGGTGGGGGCTTTTGTATTTTCATTAGAGATGGGGTTTCGTCATATTGGTTAGGCTAGTCTCGAACTCCTGACCTCAGGTGATCCACCTGCCTCGACCTCCCAAAGTGCTGAGATTACAGGCATGAACTGCCATGCCAGGCCTTTGTTTTGTTTTTTGAGATGGAGTTTTGCTCTTGTTACCCAGGTTGGAGTGCAATGGCAAGATCTCGGCTACCTGCAACCTCTGCAATTGTCCTGCCTCAGTTTCCTGAGTAGCTGGGATTACAGGCATGTGCCACCAAGCCCAACAAAGAAAATCTTTTGTTGTATTTTTAGTAGAGATGGGGTTTCACCATGTTGGCCAGGCTGGTTTAGAACTCCTGACCTCAGGTGATCCACCCACCTCGGCCTCCCAAAGGGCTGGGATTACAGGTGTGAGCCACCGCGCCCCACCTGAGGCTTGTTTGCTTTAAGCCATGGTTGCTTGGATTTCCTTTTACTTGCAGCTAAATACATTCCTGACTGATACATCCGCTCCAAACCTTCCGTTTTGTAATGGGTTTAGACTTGCAGAAAACTCCTTTTGTTTTAAATAGGATTTTTTACAGAAAACTTTGTTTTCATGATACAGGATGTTAGATTTTATCAGCACAACTGAATCCCAGAAAAATTACCCAGATTATGAAGACCTTGAGCTCCCAGCTATCCGGAAGAATTTCAGACCCTCAAAGGGCCCCCCAGTTAGTTTCAGGTTTCCCCAACATTTTATTGCTGTTGTTAGAGAAGGGTCTTGCTCTGTGGCCCAGGCTGGAGTGCAGTGGTGTGATCACGGCTCACTGCAGCCTGGCAAAATAGTAGCTGTTAGTAAATGTTTCATGAGTTAGTGGTAATAAGTATCATTTATTTCATCAGTTTGGTGGACAATGTGGATATCTCTTTTTTTTTTTTTTCCTTTTTTTAAAAATTGAAACAGAGTCTTACTCTGTTGCCCAGGCTGGAGTGCAGCGATGTGATCTCGGCTCACTGCATCCTCTGCCTCCCAGGTTCAAGCAATTCTCCTGCCTCAGCCTCCCAAGTAGGTGGGATTACAGGTGCCCACCATCATGCCTGGCTAATGTTTGTTTGTTTGTTTGTTTTTCTGAGATGGGGTCTAGTTCTGTCACCCAGGCTGGACTGCAGTGGCGCGCTCTCTGCTCCCTGCAACCTCTGCCTCCCGGGTTCATGTGATTCCCCTGCTTCAGCCTCCTGAGTAGCTGGGACTATAGGTGCCCACCACCACACCTGGCTTTTTTTTTTTTTTTTTTTTTTTTGGTATTTTAGCAGAGATAGGGTTTCACCATGTTGTCCTAGATGGTCTCAATCTCCTGATTTCATGATCTGCTTACCTTGGCCTCCCAAAGTGCTGGCGTTACAGGCCTTCTTTTTTCTAATTACTCAAGCATTCTCTTATTAACAGAGATCCTTTCTCTCTTGAGACCATCCCACTACCTCCATGGAATATCCAAGAATTTCACAGGTTTATGTGGGTCAGAGTCCAGTCCTATGGGAACTGGAAAATTCCATCATTCTTTCAGTTCTGTGGCTCTGGTCAACATCAAGTGGTGTGCCAATGGACACTGGTCTCCACAGTCCTACAGAGCCCCCTCGTTCCACGGCCACTGGTCTCCACAGTCCTACGGAGCCCCCTCGTTCCACGGCCACTGGTCTCCGCAGTCCTACGGAGCCCCCTCGTTCCACGGACACTGGTCTCCGCAGTCCTACGGAGCCCCCTCGTTCCACGGACACTGGTCTCCGCAGTCCTACGGAGCCCCCTCGTTCCACGGACACTGGTCTCCGCAGTCCTACGGAGGCCCTCTCGTTCCATCGGAAAGCCTTTGCTCATCTGGCCCCCTGCCCTGATTACTTACACGTGGGATCTGAGGTTGAAGGTCTTCAAAGTCACACTCACAGGCCCAGCCATCATTTCACAGAGCACATGTCTTAACGGGCTATGTGGCCATGTCTAAAGGGCTTCTGGTCTCAGCCACAAGCTGCACATGAACAGATGCTTGGGCTGAGCCTGTGTGTGTGAGTCCAAAGCCTGTACCATTTGCCAAAAAGTCGAGAAACAAGGTGTTGGGGTAAGGAAGGCAAGTTTATTTCAGAAAGTCAGTAAGCCAGGCCAGGCGCAGTGGCTCACACGTGTAATCCTGGCCCTTTGGGAGGTCAAGAGATCGAGATCATCCTGGTCAATATGGTGAAACCCCGCCTCCACTAAAAATACAAAAATTAGCTGGGCGTGGTGGTGCGTGCCTGTAGTCCTAGTTACTCGGGAGGCTGAGGCAGGAGAATCACTTGAACCCGGGAAGCTGAGGTTGCAGTGAGCCAAGATCGCACCACTGCACTCCAGCCTGGGCGACAGAGTGAGACTCCATCTCACAAAAACAAAAACAGAAAGTCGGCAAACCCAGAAGATGTAAGAACCTTACGTTAACAGAATTTCAGGCTCCTTTTATGTCAGGGGAAGGAGGAGGGTTGAAATCAAGAGGTGACCCATAATCACAGACGTCTGGGCGGCAGTGAAAGGAGGGCATCGTGAAACTTGTTTGTCCTCGGTCAGGTCACAAGACTCCTATAAATCATTTTTTTTTTTTTTGAGACGGATTTTCACTCTTGTTGCCCAGGCTGGAGTGCAGTGGCGTGATCTCAGCTCACTGCCACCTTTGCCTCCTGGGTTCAAGCGATTCTCCTGCCTCAGCCTCCCACCTAGATGGGATTACAAGCACCCGCCACTGCACCTGGCCAATTTTTTGTATTTTTAGTAGAGAAGGGGTGTCACCATGCTGGGCAGGCTGGTCTCGAACTCCCCGCCTTGGCCTCCCAACGTGCTGGGATTTCAGGCATGTGCCAGCACACCTGGCCACTCCTGTAAATCTTTAGCATAATATTGTTACTTGTGTGGACACTCCTTATTTCCTCGGGGGTAAGTTTTGAGAAAGGATTATTATCATGCTTGCTTTAAACTTAAAGTGCAGACTAAATTCCTCCCACAGTTCAGCTTACACACAGAGATAAGCAAAAGCAGCTCACCTAAAAAGGTGTCACCAGGTGGGAGGGCAGTTAGGAGCCTGAACCCAGAAGTATCTGAGACAGGTCTCAATCAATTTAGGGAGCTTATTGTGCCGAGGTTAAGGGTTCACCTGTGACAGCCTCAGGAGGTCCTGATGCCACGTGTCCTAGGTGGTTGGGGTACAGCTTGTTTTATACACTTCAGGGAGACATATTACATTAATCAATACATGTAAGACTGGCATTGGTTCAATCTGGAAGGGTAGGACCACTTGAAGTGGGGGGCTTCCAGGTCATAAGTAGATTTAGACATTTTCAGATCGGCAGTTGGTTGAAAAGAGTTATTATCGATAGAAAGAAATGTGTGGGGCTGGGCGCGGTGGCTCACGTCTGTAATCCCAGCACTTTGGGAGGCCAAGGCGGGTGAATCACCTGAGATCAGGAGGTCAAGACCAGCTTGGGCAACATGGTGAAACCCCGTTTCTACTAAAAATATGAAAGTTAGCTGGGCACGGTGGCACGCACCTGTGGTCCCAGCTACTTGGGAGGCTGAGGCAGGAGAATAGCTTGAACCTGGGAGGTGGAGGTTGCAGTGAGCCAAGGGCGTGCCACTGCACTCCAGCCTGGGTGATAGAGCAAAACTCCGAACAACAAAGGAATGCCCGGGTTACGATAAGGGGTGTGGAGGCCAAGGTTTTATCGTGTGGATGAAGCCTCCAGGTAGCAGGTTTCAGAGAGAATAGGCTGTAAATGTGTCTTATCGGACTTACACGTTTCGTATTGATCTTAATGCTGGTTGGCTTTTCTGAATTCCAAAAGGAAGGGGAGTATAATGAGGCATGTCCAACGTCTTTCCATCACAGCCTGAACTAGTGTTTCAGGTTAACTACACAATGCCCTTGGCCCAAACCATTCAGATGGCTGGAGGGTCTCGGAATTTTATTTTTGGTTTACGGAAGCAAAATGGACCTGGTCATACTAGGTCTCCTTTTCACCGCTGCTGGACGACTCAAGGGAGAACTGCCTTTGCAGTCTTTGGGGTTGCTTTTTGCTAATGGACCCGGTCGGGACTATTAAACTCACTAAACTCTGCTTTTGTGACTGGTTTCCTAACTGCAGCTCATTCAGCTACTTAATGTTTTATTTACTGTTTGGTTTGACTCCCATTTCCTGTTTTTCTCCTGTTGGTGAATTTTGCATTCAGTCCTTTCGGTTGCTTTACATTTCCCACGAGTTACATCCTTCAAATTCCTGTTCCGCAATGACATGGGCTATAGGAAATGCTGCAGAGACGTATCCTCGCTGGTGTTGTTTGGTGCCTCGCTTGTGTATCATGGCATGTAGCCAAAAGATACTTGGTTTAATCTGCGTACCAGGAAGTTGTGGCTATTTCACTGAGGACCCCATAAAGGCTTCATGACAGTTCCTTTTAGACATGCTCCTTAGCCCTATGCAAATTTACTCATGCCATTTCTCAGATTTGCATATCAAGTGGTCTTGAGAAGGTCATCTCAGGTTTAAATCGCCTACCAACAAAAGATTCCATCACAACTCCCCACAGCAATGGTGCTCACTAGCCTAATGTTAGCAGAAGTAAAAGAGACTGCTCACAAGATTCCAGTTAATAAACATTCCTGTCCAGTGACACACAGCCCTGCTTGCAAACGTAGAGGAAGCTGGCATCATGAAGTCGACCTTACTTCCCTTCCAGTACAAAATGAACACCTGCCAGTTTCATGTGTATTCATTTACATTTCACCAGAACTGGGTGACACAGAGAACGGCTATTTTCACTCTGGATTTTTGAGACCCATTACATTTTTTTTTCCTGTATATCTCTAAAAGACAGGCATGAAAAAGACCTATAATATCATTATCACACTAAACAAAAGTAACAATTCATTGACAACATCAAATATAATTAATGTTCATATTTCCTATTCTCAGGTCATTTTATATTTTCCAATGTGTGTGTTTGACTCAGAATACAAAGTGCTAAAAGGATAAAATCAAGACTCACGCAAATATAAAATTAATACATGCCAATTTTTCACTTTTAGAGAGACAGGGTCTGCTATGTTGACCCAGATGGCCTTGAACTCACGGCCTCAGGCGATCCTCCCACCTCCTCAGCCTCCCAAAGTGCTGGGATTACAGGCTTGAGCCACCGCGCCCGGCCTGGTCTCCTACTCTTGACCTCTGGTGATTCGCCCACCTCGGCCTCCCACAGTGCTGGGGTCACAGGCACGAGTCACCGCACCCGGTCTTATTTCACGTATTTAAATCACTCCGAGTTATTGCCCATACTGATGCTCCAACTGTCCCATCTTGGACCAGTGGGAGTGTCTTCTAGTTGGTTCCTGAGAGGGACCACTCATTTTCATACCTTCCATTGCCTGAGGCCAGGCTGGGATGACGCTCCAGGACCGCACACTGAATGGAACCCCGCCCGATCGCACGGGAAGTCCGTCGGACACCCTCTGGGAGTCCACCGGAAGTTCCGAGAACCACCCTCGACTTCCGGAAGAGCGCAGGAAGTTTGCTGGAAAACCGCCGGAAACGGACAGGAAGGAGACCCTGCGACCGCGAAGCCTCCTGCAGCGCCCCCTGTTGGCAGAGGCTCGGCGAGGCCGAGATGAGGTTCACGACGTGGCCGCGTGAGCATCCCGGCTGCGTGTGGATGGTTGGGCATGGAGCTGCCAGGAGACGACAGTGGGGAGCTTCCCCGGCGATCGTGGGCTTCTCGGGTCGGGCTGACTTCAGGCCGGACTGGAGTCCCTGCACAATACCAAGCACATGGCCCGGTCCTCAGCTGCCTCGGGGACCGGTTCCACCTCTGCTTCTGGCGCTGGGATGGGGGCCAAAGGTTTTGGGCAGAGGCAGCAGCAAGAGGCAGTAGCACCTGGAAAACACTGTGTCTCCTGAGTTGACCCTTCCTGTCTGGGGGCTGTGCCCTGGATGTGTTTGTTTCCATAGCAACGAACAGGGCTCCCGTGGGCTCCAGTCCCTTAGATAGGGTGCGCCCAGGGAGGGCGCTGCAGGAGCTGCAGGTCGCTCTGCTGGGAAGGGAGGCGAGAAATGGCCTCGGGCAGCTCACCCCCGGCTGGCCCGTGTTGGGACACACATTTCCTGGTGGGGGACGGGGTGAAGAGGGTTGGTCCCCCCTGTGCCTTGAGCAGAGCCTACAGTGGGTGAAACAGTGGGGGTCTCCTGCCTGCCTGCAGGATGGGTGGGGCTTCCACATCGCAGCCCAGCAGGGTGGACTGACCAGTCCCCTGACCTCTGGCTCCTTGGTGGGACTGGACTGAGGGGGACGCTGGCATTCTGGCCTCCTCTAAACCACCTCCCTGGAACATGTGGGACAGGAGCCCAAGAGGCATCTGAGGAGGGCGGGTTCTGCCAGGCACAGAGGGCTCGCTCCAGCGTGATTGTCACTGGTTAATGACCCACCATCCCCACCCCCCTTTGCCCCTCTGGTGCTATCCAAGGACTCTGACCCCATTGCAGTGTCTGTAGGGAAGAGGAGCCATGGGGCTTTGGGCAGGCCCCATCCTGCTTCTGCTGCCGTGCCTGCTGCCAGGTGAGGGGTGCGCCTCTGTCTTCTTCCTCCCAACCCCTGGCAGCCTGTGTGCTCCCCTTTGCTCTCTTGCTTTCCAGGGGCCCATGAGGATGTGCTGCCTTTGGGTAAGGACCAGCTGTGGACATCCCATCCCTGCACTCACCCAGCCCCTACTCCTGGCCAGGGAGGACTGGCCCCAGGGAACATGCAGAGGCCCTTGGCCCTGGGAGCCTCATCCCTGGACATCAAGGGCAGAGGGATGTCAGGAGGTGTTAGGGTGAAGAGTGAGGCTGGGAGTGAGGGGCTTTCTGAGAGGGAAGAAAGCTGAGGTCCCCCAGCTGCCCATCTGTCTGCAGAATGCGGCCACCCCAAGGAGGCCGGGAGGATTGTGGGAGGCCAAGACGCCAAGGAAGGACGCTGGCCATGGCAGGTTGGCCTGTGGTTGACCTCAGTGGGGCACATATGTGGGGGCTCCCTCATCCATCCACGCTGGGTGCTCACAGCCGCCCACTGCTTCCTGAGGTGAGTGGGGCTGGGTAGGGGCAACCGGGCACTCATCACACCTCCCCTCGGTGGCTGCCTGCAGTGGTCTGTGTCTCTGTTCTCCCCCCAGGTCTGTGGATCCCAAGCTCTACCGTATTAAAGTTGGAGGGCTGTCACTCTCCCTTTCGGAGCCCCACTCCACCTTGGTGGCTGTGAAGAGGCTCCTGATCCACCCCTCGTACCATGGGACTGCCACCAGTGGGGACATTGCCCTGATGGAGCTGGACTCCCCCGTGCAGGCCTCCCTGTTCAGCCCTATCTGCCTCCCAGGACCCCAGACTCCCCTCGCCACTGGGACCCTGTGCTGGGTAACGGGCTGGGGGTCCATGCTGGAGAAAGGTAAGGGGGAGATGCACTCACCAGCCCCCACTCCTGGCCTGGGAGGACCGGCCCAGGAACCACATGGAGCCAGCCTGAGCATGTGGTCCCGTGTTTGTCTTCTCTCCCCTCCCACCCCACCCTGAAGCTGGGAGCACTGGGAGAACACTGGGAGACTGTGGGACTCCCCTTGGCTAAGGTGACCACCATGTTGGATTTTGGGGATCTTGAGCCCGTGTCGAGGATTGTGCCTGTGCTGGGGATGAAAAAGCTGTGGCTAAGAGGTCATGAGATTAGCCAGGGTCACGGGAGAGGATCTGGGCTTGAGCCCCACTTCCTGACCCCACTGCCTCCCGGTTTGGGAGTTGGGAGGGGTAGGGTGGGTAGGCAGAGAAGAGGTGGGAGGTGCAGGCTGCCATCATCACAGGTGAGAGGGAGGAGGCTCACCTGATGGGGACGAGTCTCAAGGTAGGCTCAGGCTGGCCCCCCTCAACATGTCTAGCCCTGTCAAGTGTCCTTCAGGAGGTGGCTATGCCCCTCCTGGACTCGAACATGTGCGAGCTGTTATACCACCTAGGAGAGCCCAGCCTGGCTGGCCAGCGCCTCATCCAGGATGACATGATCTGTGCTGGCTCTGTCCAGGGCAAGAAAGACTCCTGCCAGGTGACAGCAGCTCCTGGCCACCCCATCCAGATGTGTGGGCTCTTTAGGCTCACCCTGTCCTGGGCTCTGTCCCCATGTCCCACACCCCAGGGTCTTCAGAGGGACCGGAGTCCTTGCCTAGCCCCTTGGCCTCAGCAGCAGACTCTTGATGGCACTTGGGGCCCAGATGTCTCCCTCAATGTGAACTTCATGGGACCCTCCCTCTCTCTCCTCCAGGGTGATTCTGGGGGGCCACTGGTCTGTGCCATCAATGATACGTGGATCCAGGCGGGCATTGTGAGCTGGGGATTCGGCTGTGCCCAGCCGTTTCGGCCTGGGGTCTACACCCAGGTGCTAAGCTATACAAGCTGGATTCAGAGAACCCTGGCTGAATCTCACTCAGGCGTGTCTGGGGCCCGCCCAGGTGTCTCCGGCTCCCCCTTAGGTGCCTCTGGGACCCACCCAATGCTACTGCTGGAGCTGTTGAGCCTACACTTGCTTGGGGCCCTGTGAAACCAGGAGCCATGGATTCTGGGATCCCCCTTCTGGTAGGATTGATGAAATCTAATAATAAACACTGTAGGTGTGTATTTTATGTCTTTGCTTCTCTAGTAATTCATTTTTATTGTTCTTTACAAAAGCATCTGGCTGTGGTAGAGTGGGAGAGCATGGACCCTGCCCCGGACAGTGTCTGGGGGACGTCTTCATCGTTAGGTTCGCGGTGTCCAGGCTTGCTCAGGATGGTCTCGGGCGATGCCTGTCCCATGTAGTTAAATAGGATCCCTGTCCCTCTCAAAAGTGTCCCCAAAGTGGGAGGAAAAGTTACATAGTCGCCGTGACTCAGCCAGTGCAAGAGCCGGAGCTCCTCGAAGCCCACGGGATTTTCCGTCTCAGGCATCCTTGTACGGTTGCCATGGCCACCAACTGGCCAATAATAGACCTTGTTCTCCCAGCTCCACCCACGGAGCGTCCATACCCCCTGCCCCCCACCGTGCCCACTGCTGAATGCAGCCAGTGGGGGCCCTGGGGGCTGTCCCGGGCATGAACAGGGGCTTTGAGGCCATCGCCAATGTGGTGGACAGCGCCCTCTGCCTGTGTCTGAGAGCATAGGCAGAGCCGTGCCTGGCAGAGCCAGTTCCACACCTGCAGGGAGGGATCCATTTGGACATTCGCATCCCGTGTCAGTTTAAGGAACTCACTGCGTTTGTGAGACAAGGTGGTTGGGCTTTCACTCCAGTTTGTCACCACCATGTCTGGGAGGAGGACCGTCTGCTTGGGTGGGGCACAGTCGGGCGAACCTTTGTCCCGGCGCCACTCCCCTGCCCTGGAGGTGGCTGTCAGGAGGACCCCAGGGAGGAGAGGGGCTTCGAGGTCGCAGGTGGGTGGGCAGTGGAGCCGTCACCTCGATGCCTCAGTCCCCCAGGGAGCACCCTCAGCTGGGTGGCCTCTTAGGAAATTTAGGTTTTTCTGCTGCCCTAGAGGACCGATGGTCTAGAATCATCTCTCCTTTTGCTGTGGGCCTGCCTTCCCAGGGTCCCCCGCGACGGCCTCGCCTCCTTCCAACCCTTCGCCTTCATCCCAGGAAGGATGGCATCCTGGAGGGGTCAATGGGTCCGCCAGGAGATGAGCGTCCTGGGTGGAGGGTCTCTGGCCTCTCAGCCTCTGTCTTGTCTCACAGCTTTTTGCTGATCACTTTCATGCCTCAGTTTGCCAATGAATTCTCCAGCTCCTCACTCAGTATCACCCCTTCCAGGTATCTAGTGAGGAGGGAAGGTGACAGATTAAAACAAAATCGTCACTTCTGCATTTCTGCTTAACATGTTAGAGTTGGCAGTCCTCCCTCACACAGGCCTGAAGCACCAGGGGTATCTCAGAAGCACCCAGCCTCCCTCCTTACATATTAGCCTCTCCAGTCTCTCTCTCCTTTTTTCTTTTGTGACAGAGTCTCGCTCTGTTGCCCAGGCTGGGGTGCAGTGGCTCAATCTCAGCTCTCTGCAGTCTCGGCCTCCTGGGCTTAAGCGATCTTCCCACCTCAGCTAGCTGGGAGTACACGTGCACACCACCACACCAGGCTAAGTTTTGTATTTTTAGTAGAGACGAGGTTTCACCATGTTGCCCAAGCTGGTCTTGAACTCCTGACCTCAAGTGATCTGCCCATCCCAGCCTCCCAAAGAGCTGGGATGACAAGTGTGAGCCACTGCATCCAGCCCACCCCTCCAGTCTCTTCCCCAAATGACCATGACCAGCGCTGCTGTGGTATCAGCCCTGTCCCAGGGAGCAGGGAAGGCTTTGGCTGTACCCCAGATACAAGGACCAAACCTGGACCCACTGATTCTGCAGAAGCCTTATTTATTGGTAGATTCAGATTCAGCGTCCTGACTCAGTTACTCCAGTACCATCAGCCATCACAGCTCAGGGCTCTTGGGCTCTTTCAGGGCCTATGGTGAGCTCAGCCTGGGGCCCAGGAACCCTGCCAGGCACTGGGCGCTGCCTGAATCTGAAGAAGGCCCCAACTGCAGGTTACCCATGGTGGGAGTGGGCCCCATGGAGCTTCTGTAGACCCTTGACCTGCTACCCTCGGGTGGAAGCCGTCAGGCTGAGCTGGAGAAGGCTCTGAGCCAGCGTCTCCCCACCTCTGCCGTCCAGCGCTGGTGCCAGTGGTGACTGGAGACAGCCCAGAGGTGACCGTGAAATGCCTGTCACTGTGCTCAGCCCTGCTTGTGTAGGCTGCAGAGCCAAGACAGCAAATACCCATCGATGGGCATTTGGGTCGGCTCCAGGTCTTTGCTATTGTAAACAGTGCTGCAGTAAACATGCGTGCGCACGTGTCTTTACAATAGAACGATTTATAATCCTTTGGATATATACCCAGTAATGGGATTGCTGGGTCAAATGGAATTTCTATTTCTTGTTTTTTTTGCAAATATAATATGATTTTAATTTGTAATGATAATATGCTTAGAAAACAAAAGATGTTCCAAAGTCTTACCAGACTATAAAAGGTTTTTTATTTTGTATTTTACTGCACTTTGTGTTCTGGGGTACATGTACAGAACATGCAGGATTGTTGCGTAGGTACATACACGGCGATGTGGTTTGCTGCCTCTATCCCCCCATCACCTACAGGTAGCATTTCTCCCCATGTTATCCCTCCCTAACCTCCCTACCCCCCCACTGCCCCTCCCCTGTTCCCCTCAACAGACCCCAGTGTGTGATGCTCCCCTCCCTGTGACCATGTGCTCTCACTGTTCAACACCCGCCTATGAGTGAGAACATGCGGTGTTTATTTCTCTGTTCTTGTGTCAGTTTGCTGAGAATGATGGTTTCCAGATTCATCCATGTCCCTACAAAGGACATGAACCCATCGTTTTTTATGGCTGCATAGTATTCCATGGTGTATATGTGCCACATTTTCCCTGTGCAGTCTATCATCGATGGGCTTTTGGGTTGGTTCCAGGTCTTTGCTATTGTAAACAGTGCTGCAATGAACATTCGTGTGCATGTGTCTTTATAATAGAACAATTTATAATCCTTTGAATATATACCCAGTAATGGGATTGCTGGGTCAAATGAAATTTCTATTTCTAGGTCCTTGAGGAATCGCCACAGTGTTTTCCACAATGGTTGAACTAATTTACTCTCCCACCAGCAGTGTAAAAGTGTTCCTATTTCTCCACATCCTCTCCAGCATCTATTGTCTCCTGATTTTTTAATGATGGTCATTCTAACTGGTATGAGTGGTATGTCAATGTGGTTTTGATTTGCATCTCTCTAATGACCAGTGACGACGAGCATTTTCTCATATGCTTGTTGGCCTCATAAATGTCTTCTTTTGAAAAGTGTCTGTTCATGTCCTTCACCCACTTTTGAATGGGTTTGTTTTTTTCTTGTAAATCTGTTTTAGTTCTTTGTGGATTCTGGATATTAGCCCTTTGTCAGATGGGTAGATTGCAGAATTTTTTTCCCATCCTGTTGGTTGCCGGTTCACTCTAATGACTGTTTCTTTTGCTGTGCAGAAGCTCTGGAGTTTGATTAAGTCCCATTTGTTTATTTTGCTTTTGTTGCCAATTTTGTGTTTTAGTCATGATGAAGTCCTTGCCTATGCCTTTGCCCTGAACGGTTTTGCCTAGGTTTTCTTCTAGGGTTGTTATGGTGTTAGGTCTTATGTTTAAGTCTTTAATCCATTTGGACTTAATTTTAGTGTAAGCTGTCCCATGGTTTGAAATCCTCAGTGGAGAAGCGGTGAGGAACGAGCTCAGGAATCCCAACTCCCTCTCACCCCTTCATGAGGCCGTGACCCCCAAGAGGACACAGGTCCCCTGACTCTCCCTGCTCTTTGTCCCTATGCAAAAGGAGGGGCCTGCATCTCTGGAGTAGGTCTGTGTTGAGAGAAAGGGGAGCAGGGGAGGGAGCCTGCAGGAAGCCTCTCTGGACCCCCATCATATTCCACACGCAGGCCCACTGTGCCATAAGGCAGGGCTGAGTGTGGCAGGGCCCTGGGGACTGGGGACTTCTCCCCCCAAGGCAGGCAGCAGCGGGGAGCATTGGGCCCTGTCTGGAGGCAGTTTTGGCTGTGACATGGGGGAGTATTCCTGGCCTCTGGTGGGTGGACACCAGGGATGCTGCCATATGTCCTGTGAGGCACAGGAGAACCCCCCACCCTCCTCTCTAACAAAGAATCATCTCGCCCCAAGCCTCAGTTCCAGTTCCTGCCCTGATGAGGACCAACAGCCTGGAAGGATGGGTCTGCAGGGTTGCCCTCCCCGGGCCGTCTGCTTCCTGTCCTGGCTGGGACTGCACCTTTGGTGTCCTTCCCTCCCATGGCCTGTGAGCCTCTGAACACAGGTTCATCCCCACTCCACCCAGATGTGGCACAGAGGAGAGACACAGGCAGCCTCCAAGGGCCACACCTGGAGGCCCAGCGTCTGGTGTGCCTGTTGCACAGGGCACAAAGGGCTGGGTGGTCCACTTGGGCTCCCTTAGGGCCTGAGGTGAGTTCAGCCTGGGTCCCAGGAATGCTGCCAGGCACCAGGAGCTGCCTGAGCCTGAAGAAAGCCCCAGTTCAAGGTCACCCATGGCGGAAGTGGGCCATATGGAGCTTCCGTGGAACCTTTACCCGCCAACCTCGAGTGGAAGCCATCAGGCTGAGCTGGAGAAGGCTCTGAGGCAGCCTCTCCCCACCTGTGCCATCCAGTGCTGCTGCCAGTGCTGACGGGAGAGAGCCCAGAGGTGACCATGAAAAGCCTGTCACTGTGCCCAGCCCTGTTTGTGTAGGCTGCAGAGCCAAGATAGCAAATACCACACATCCGGGAGCCGTCCCCCAGGAAGAGCCCCACCACCAGCTCCTTACTGTGCCCAGGTGTACCTTCATTTCTCCTTTCTGGATGGGGGCCAGAGGGCACAGGAGGGTATAAAGGCGACCTGGAGGGCGCCGGGCACAAGCAGACGCCAGCGAAGACTCTCCCCGCCAGGTAAGGTGCTTGGCTCCGTGGAGGGGCCCGGCGAGGTCAGGCTGGCCCTTGCTTTGGAGTCAGAAGCCCTCTCTTCTTCTCCCAGATCCCTGGGATGCGCCAGCCAGAGGCCATGCTGCTGCTGCTCACCCTCGCCCTCCTGGTGGGCCCCACCTGGGCAGGGAGTAAGTCGGCGGGGTCTGTGCCCGATCTCCCCTCCCTCCCTCCAGAATAACTGGTCACAGAACCATCCTGTCTGGCTAGAGGGGTGGGTCCCCTGTTCTGGCAGAGGTTGCCCCCATATTATGGCGTGGGGATTTCCCCCCCGTTTGGTTTTCTCTTCCCTGCAGAGATGTATGGCCCTGGAGGAGGGAAATATTTCAGCACCACGGAAGACTATGACCATGAAATCACAGGACTGCGGGTATCTGTGGCTCTTATGGTGAAAAGGTGAGTAGGGCCGTGGTCATGGGCCCCACGTCATGTCCCAACCCCTCCCACAGTTTCAGGAACTCAGGGCAGGGGTGGGCGCCTGTAGGCACTTTTCCCACTTCCTGCCCGGCTCCTGCCAATGCTTCCTGCCTTGAGCAGAGAAGGTCAGATGACCGTCCCCCCACCTTCTCCGTTCAACCCAAACTCAACTCAACCAAAAATGGCCCCTCCATCCCCATGCCTGATAGGAAGGTCAGGGGAAAGTCTGTCCACTTACTGTCAGAGACAGGAGGTGAGGGTCAGAGTGGACCACCGACTGAACATGAGTCACAGAAGTGTTAGAGGCAGAAATCCAGGCCATTTCCCTAACATCAAGGTGTCTCTGCTCAAGGTTGGGATGGATTTCTGCCTTGCACTTAGGAGCTCTGGGGTCCTGGAGGAGGGCGTGGAGAGAGAAGCCCAAGAGCAGAGGAGACAGCGTGTGGGCAGGGCGAGCCGGAGGGCTGCGTCCTGGGAGGGCACCAGGGTGAGGGAGAGACACAGATGAGCCCCCGGGGGAAGCGCTGCTGAGTGTGGGAAGTCACCTGCCCCTCGGCCGGTAAGCTGCTCTGCTCAGAGTGACTCAGGCTCCTTGGGTCCGGGCTCAGCCAGAGGCAGCTCCTGTGTGGGCCACCATGACAGCAACCAGTGCCTTCTGGGGTCTCGGGGACCCGGGCACTGCACGGAGCTCTCCTTGTCACCACCTCGGTGACTGCTGCCAACAATCACACCCACTTTGCAGATGGGGAAACTGAGCCCAGAGAGGCTGGGTAACCAGTTCAACATTACAGAGCCAGAAAGTGGTAGAACCAGGGATGGTGACCAGTGAGTCTGTGTCAGGGACCCAAAGTCGGATGGTGCTGGTCTCTGCATCCCAGGAAGGAGGGTGGGGGCGCTGAGGACCTGGATGTGCGGGGCCACCCCAGATCTGGATATCCAAAGCTTTGCCTCTCTCCAGTGTCCAGGTGAGACTTGGAGACTCCTGGGATGTTGAACAGGGCGCGTCAGGTGGGAAGACCCAGGAAGTCATCCTGCAGCCAGGCGAATACATCATAAATGTCGTTGGCGCCTTCAAAGCTTTCCTCCAGGGTATGGCCCTGTGCACCAACAATGGCCGCTGCTTCTATTTTGGGAATCTTGATGGGAATTACTTCTCTGCCTACCCCAGCCAAGAGGGGCAGGTGCTGGTGGGCATCTATGGCGAGTATGGACTCCTTGGCATCAAGAGCATTGGGTTTGAATGGAACTATCCAGCGGAGCCAACCATTGAGTGACTCAAATGACCATCAAAGGCGTCCATGGGTCACTAGGTTGAGTTATGTGGCCACCCAAGCTGAGGCCTACTGGGAGGTGGTGGCTGATGGTACTGGAGTAACTGAGTCAGGACGCTGAATCTGAATCCACCAATAAATAAAGCTTCTGCAGAATCAATGCATCCAGGTTTGGTCCTTGGATCTGGGGTACAACCAAAGCCTTCCCTGCTCCTTGGGGACAAAGGTCCCAGTGCTGGAGCCCAGTGAACGGAGGTGAAGGGTAGGACACAGATGACTGCCGAGGACAGAAAGAGTGCAGCAGCACCTGTCAGGGATGCCGTGGGACCCTGTGTCAGTCCCACAATCTTTGAGGAGTCAGGCTTCAAGGTCACCACTCCCTACCGTCCCTCACCCCAGGCCCATCCAGCGGGCCTCTGTTGGCCACTCAGTCCCGGGCTTCTCTCAGTGTTCAAGGAGCCTCAGGGAAGCCACCCACCCATCCATTCATTCAGCAAACATTTGCCAAGGCCTTGTCCTCACCAGGCTCCCATGGCACTGGGTATGGCCCTGTGCACCAACAATACTGGTGCACTGGGGGTATAAAGAAAAGGCCAAGTTTCCAGCTGAGGGCAGGTGCCCTGTGCATGGTCGGGGTTGGTGCAGCGGCAGATAGTGGCAGTTCACTTTGCCATCCGTATGCATGGGGACACACGCAGGTCATGGTGCATAGGCACTTCCCCAAGGGTGAGTTGAGGGGGATGTGCTTCAGGGAAGTCTTCCTGGAGGAGGCAATGTCTGAGCTAAGTCTTAAAGGATGAGGGAGAATTAGCCAAGTGGAGACAAGAAGAGGAGGACATTACAGGTTGAGGGCTCAGCATGAGCAAAGGCAGGAGATGCAGATGGCTGGGGACAGCAGGCCTCACACTGTGGTAATTTGTCACAGCAGAAACGGGAAATCAGTACAGGGCCTGGACCCAGCCCATTCTTCATGTCCCCTTCCCAAGTCTCCAAGCCCACATTGGCACTTGCCAAGATCAGAGCCCCAGGGACCTCCAGGGACAGGGTTTTCAGCCCTTTGGGACCATGATCCACAGAGATAAATTGATCCTACTTGAGACACAAGAAGCAACACATGTAATGGAACAGCCAAACACCCAGTGATTATCTAATGCAACAGTCAAACACTCAGTGATCATCTAATGCAACAGCCAAACACTCAGTGATTATCTAATGCAACAGCCAAACACCCAGTGATCATCTAATGCAACAGCCAAACACCCAGTGATCATCTAATACTACAGCCAAACATTCAGTGATTATCCTAATGCTACAGCCAAACACCCAGTGATCATCTAATGCAACAGCCAAACACTCAGTGATCATCTAATGTAACAGCCAAACACCCAGTGATCATCTAATGTAACAGCCAAACACCCAGTGATCATCTAATGTAACAGCCAAACACCCAGTGATCATCTAATGTAACAGCCAAACACCCAGTGATCATCTAATGCAACAGCCAAACACTCAGTGATCATCTAATGCAACAGCCAAACACCCAGTGATCATCTAATGTAACAGCCAAACACTCAGTGATCATCTAATGTAACAGCCAAACACCCAGTGATCATCTAATGCAACAGCCAAACACTCAGTGATCATCTAATGCAACAGGCAAACACCCAGTGATCATCTAATGCAACAGCCAAACACCCAGTGATCATCTAATGCAACAGCCAAACACTCAGTGATCATCTAATGTAACAGCCAAACACTCAGTGATCATCTAATGTAACAGCCAAACACTCAGTGATCATCTAATGTAACAGCCAAACACCCAGTGATCATCTAATGCAACAGCCAAACACCCAGTGATCATCTAATGCAACAGCCAAACACCCAGTGATCATCTAATGTAACAGCCAAACACTCAGTGATCATCTAATGCAACAGCCAAACACCCAGTGATCATCTAATGCAACAGCCAAACACCCAGTGATCATCTAATGCAACAGCCAAACACCCAGTGATCATCTAATGCAACAGCCAAACACCCAGTGATCATCTAATGCAACAGCCAAACACTCAGTGATCATCTAATGTAACAGCCAAACACCCAGTGATCATCTAATGTAACAGCCAAACACCCAGTGATCATCTAATGTAACAGCCAAACACCCAGTGATCATCTAATGTAACAGCCAAACACCCAGTGATCATCTAATGCAACAGCCAAACACTCAGTGATCATCTAATGCAACAGCCAAACACCCAGTGATCATCTAATGTAACAGCCAAACACTCAGTGATCATCTAATGCTACAGCCAAACACCCAGTGATCATCTAATGCAACAGCCAAACACTCAGTGATCATCTAATGCAACAGCCAAACACCCAGTGATCATCTAATGCAACAGCCAAACACTCAGTGATCATCTAATGTAACAGCCAAACACCCAGTGATCATCTAATGCAACAGCCAAACACTCAGTGATCATCTAATGTAACAGCCAAACACTCAGTGATCATCTAATGTAACAGCCAAACACCCAGTGATCATCTAATGCAACAGCCAAACACTCAGTGATCATCTAATGCAACAGGCAAACACCCAGTGATCATCTAATGCAACAGCCAAACACTCAGTGATCATCTAATGTAACAGCCAAACACCCAGTGATCATCTAATGCAACAGCCAAACACTCAGTGATCATCTAATGTAACAGCCAAACACCCAGTGATCATCTAATGCAACAGCCAAACACTCAGTGATCATCTAATGTAACAGCCAAACACTCAGTGATCATCTAATGTAACAGCCAAACACTCAGTGATCATCTAATGCAACAGCCAAACACCCAGTGATCATCTAATGCAACAGCCAAACACCCAGTGATCATCTAATGCAACAGCCAAACACCCAGTGATCATCTAATGCAACAGCCAAACACCCAGTGATCATCTAATGCAACAGCCAAACACCCAGTGATCATCTAATGTAACAGCCAAACACTCAGTGATCATCTAATGTAACAGCCAAACACCCAGTGATCATCTAATGCAACAGCCAAACACCCAGTGATCATCTAATGTAACAGCCAAACACTCAGTGATCATCTAATGTAACAGCCAAACACTCAGTGATCATCTAATGCAACAGCCAAACACTCAGAGATCATCTAATGCTACAGCGAAACACTCAGTAATTAGGGGAAGGATCAGGTCCTGTTCTAGGGCCTCCACCCAAAGTCTCCACCCACAACAATGGAAGGACAGGACTTCAATTATCATCATTTGCAAAACGAAGAAACCGAGGCACTGAGGGCAAAGTGACTTGTCCTACACAGCAGTTAGAGGCAGGGTTGGAGGTTCGCCTTGAGGTGGCCAACCTGCAAAGTCTGGCCCCTGGACCCCTATAGGGTCCAGCTCTATAGGGTTCTGTGAGCCCCTCCCTGCTGGTGCGGAAATGAGAAACTGTAGAAATAAAAGAGACAGAGACAGAGAAAAGAGAGTTTGGGCTCGGGGGTCCACTGCCAACCAAATTGCGGAGACCTGCAGTAGCCCAGAGCACCTGGACACTCTGACTTGGAGTACAAAGCATCTAATGCATTATAGAATTATATGTGATTATGTAAAGCAGCAGGCAGGAAAGGTAGGGTGAGGTAATGGTGGTTGGTGACAGGGTCAGGTAAATCACATGTCTTGGAGACAGGGGGCCCAGGACTTTCAAGTAGCTGAGGTGGGGAGAAAACCTACTGCATCAGCGCTCTTTCCATGTTTGTCTGAAATATCAAGGACATTAATTCTTACCTTCTGAGAAAAAGAGGGGCCAGGTGCAGAAGTGGAGCGTGAGAGTGGACATCGAATGTGACCGCTGAAGTCCAGCATCACATAGAGACCCAGTGAGCCGTGATCATACCAGTGCATTCCAGCCTGGGCAGAAATAAATAAATAAATAGATAGATAGATAAAAGAAACAATAAACACAAGTGAAAGAAACTAAAACACAAAAATTTTTTTTTTTTTTTTTGAGACGGAGTTTCCCTCTTGTTCCCCAGGCTGGAGTGCAATGGCGCGATCTCGGCTCACCGCAACCTCCGCCTCCTGGGTTCAGGCAATTCTCCTGCCTCAGCCTCCTGAGTAGCTGGGATTACAGGCACGCGCCACCGTGCCCAGCTAATTTTTTGTATTTTTAGTATAGACGGGGTTTCACCACGTTGACCAGGATGGTCTCGATCTCTTGACCTCGTGATCCACCTGCCTCGGCCTCCCAAAGTGCTGGGATTACAGGCGTGAGCCAGGGCTTTGATTACCAACACATTGAATGGCAAATCTGATTGTCTTAATTTTGAAGTGGCGATGGGTGTAAGTTTCAAGGTGTTTGTGACCACAGTAATCGATGTGGTCATTTCATGGGCGTTGCATATGAAGTCACATTCATACCTGAAGGAAACATAAAATTTTCGGTCAAGGATAATAAAAACAAAGAGGTAAATGTTTCCTCCATCCCAGTTCATGAATTCTCTGCTTTTATGATTTCTGATTTTTGTCCACAGACCCCAGGTTAAGAAGTGGCTCTGAACCAGCATTTAGAATTAAATAAAAATAAAAGTAGAGAAGAGAAAAAATGTCAGTGTGTGTCTCATGCAGAAAGATGAAGCTGGGTTGTAAAATCCTTGCCTAGGTCTGGGGTCCAGGGGCCAGACTTTGCAGGTTGGCCACCTCAGGGGAACCTCCAACCCTGCCTCTAACTGCTGTGTAGGACAAGTCACTTTGCCCTCAGTGCATCAGTTTCTTCATTTTGCAAATGAGGATAATTGAAGTCCTGTCCTTCCATTGTTGTGGGTGGAGACTTTGGGTGGAGCCCCTGGAACAGGACCTGACCCTTCCCCTGATCACTGAGTGTTTGGCTGTAGCATTAGATGATCACTGGATGTTTGCCTATTGCATTAGATGATCACTGAGGGTTTGTATTAGATAATCACTGAGCTGTTGCATTAGATAATCACTGAGTGTTTGGCTGTTGCATTAGATAATCAATCACTGAGCTGTTGCATTAGATAATCACTGAGCTGTTGCATTAGATAATCACTGAGTGTTTGGCTGTTGCATTAGATGATCACTGGGTGTTTGGCTGTTACATTAGATGATCACTGGGTGTTTGCCTGTTACATTAGATGATCACTGGGTGTTTGGCTGTTACATTAGATGATCACTGGGTGTTTGGCTGTTACGTTAGATGATCACTGAGTGTTTGACTGTTACATTAGATGATCACTGAGTGTTTGGCTGTTGCATTAGATAATCACTGAGTGTTTGGCTGTTACATTAGATAATCACTGAGTGTTTGTTACATTAGATGATCACTGAGTGTTTGGCTGTTGCATTAGATGATCACTGGGTGTTTGGCTGTTGCATTAGATGATCACTGAGTGTTTGGCTGTTACATTAGATCATCACTGAGTGTTTGGCTGTTACATTAGATAATCACTGAGTGTTTGGCTGTTGCGTTAGATAATCACTAGGTGTTTGCCTGTTGCATTAGATAATCACTGAGTGTTTGCCTGTTGCATTAGATAATCACTGAGTGTTTGCCTGATGCATTAGATAACCACTGGGTGTTTGGCTGTTCCATTACATGTGTTGCTTCTTGTGTCTCAAGTAGGATCAATTTCTCTCTGTGGATCATGGTCCCAAAGGGCTGAAAACCCTGTGCCTGGAGGCCCCTGGGGCTCTGATCTTGGCAAGTGCCAATGTGGGCTTGGAGACTTGGGAAGGGGACATGAAGAATGGGCTGGGTCCAGGGCCTGTACTGATTTCCCGATTCTGCTGTGACAAATTACCACAGTGTGAGGCCTGCTGTCCCCAGCCATCTGCATCTCCTGCCTGTGCTCATGATTGAGCCCTCAACCTGTAATGTCCTCCTCCCCTTGTCTCCACTTGGCTAATTCTCCCTCATCCTTTAAGACTTAGCTCAGACATTGCCTCCTCCAGGAAGACTTCCCTGAAGCACATCCCCCTCACCCCACCCTTGGGAAAGTGCCTATGCACCATGACCTGCATGCGTCCCCATGCATACGGATGGCAAAGTGAACTGCCACTATCTGCCTCTGCACCATCCCTGACCATGCACAGGACTTGGCCTTTTCTTTATACCCCCAGTGCCATGGGAGCCTGGTGAGGACAAGGCCTTGGCAAATGTTTGCTGAGTGAATGGATGGGTGGGTGGCTTCCCTGAGGCTCCGTGAACACTGAGAGAAGCCCGGGACTGAGTGGCCAACAGAGGCCCGCTGGATGGGCCTGGGGTGAGGGACGGTGGGGAGTGGTGGCCTTGAAGCCTGACTCCTCAAAGATTGTGGGACTGACACAGGGTCCCACGGCATCCCTGAGGGGTGCTGCTGCACTCTTTCTGTCCTCAGCAGTCACCTGTGCCCTACCCTTCACCTCCGTTCACTAGGCTCCAGCACTGGGGCCTTTGTCCCCAAGAAGCAGGGAAGGCTTTGGTTGTACCCCAGATCCAAGGACCAAACCTGGATGCATTGATTCTGCAGAAGCTTTATTTATTGGAGGATTCAGATTCAGCATCCTGACTCAGTTACTCCAGTACCATCAGCCACCACCTTCCAGATGGCCCTGTACCCCACCCTCGTGACCTTTCATACACAGGTGGGAGTAACTGGTGGCTCAGTGGTTGGCTCCTCCAGTGGATAGTTCCATTGAAACCCAATGCTCTTGATGCCAAGGAGTCCATACTCGCCATAGATGCCCACCAGCACCTGCCCCTCTTGGCTGGGGTAGGCAGAGAAGTAATTCCCATCAAGCTTCCCAAAATAGAAACAGCGGTCTCTGTTGGTGCACAGGGCTATACCCTGGAGGAAAGCTTTGAAGGCGCCAACGACATTTATGATGTATTCGCCTGGCTGCAGGATGACTTCCTGGGTCTGCCCACCTGACGCGCCCTGTTTAACATCCCAGGAGTCTCCAAGTCTCACCTGGACACTGGAGAGAGGCAAAGCTTTGGATATCCAGATCTGGGGTGGCCCCGCACATCCAGGTCCTCAGCGCCCCCACCCTCCTTCCTGGGATGCAGAGACCAGCACCATCCGACTTTGGGTCCCTGACACAGACTCACTGGTCACCAACCCTGGTTCTACCACTTTCTGGCTCTGTAATGTTGAACTGGTTACCCAGCCTCTCTGGGCTCAGTTTCCTCATCTGCAAAGTGGGTGTGATGTTGGCAGCAGTCACCGAGGTGGTGACAAGGAGAGCTCCGTGCAGTGCCCGGGTCCCCGAGACCCCAGAAGGCACTGGTTGCTGTCATGGTGGCCCACACAGGAGCTGCCTCTGGCTGAGCCCGGACCCAAGGAGCCTGAGTCACTCTGAGCAGAGCAGCTTACCGGCCGAGGGGCAGGTGACTTCCCACACTCAGCAGCGCTTCCCCCGGGGGCTCATCTGTGTCTCTCCCTCACCCTGGTGCCCTCCCAGGACGCAGCCCTCCGGCTCGCCCTGCCCACACGCTGTCTCCTCTGCTCTTGGGCTTCTCTCTCCACGCCCTCCTCCAGGACCCCAGAGCTCCTAAGTGCAAGGCAGAAATCCATCCCAACCTTGAGCAGAGACACCTTGATGTTAGGGAAATGGCCTGGATTTCTGCCTCTAACACTTCTGTGACTCATGTTCAGTCGGTGGTCCACTCTGACCCTCACCTCCTGTCTCTGACAGTAAGTGGACAGACTTTCCCCTGACCTTCCTATCAGGCATGGGGATGGAGGGGCCATTTTTGGTTGAGTTGAGTTTGGGTTGAACGGAGAAGGTGGGGGGACAGTCATCTGACCTTCTCTGCTCAAGGCAGGAAGCATTGGCAGGAGCCGGGCAGGAAGTGGGAAAAGTGCCTACAGGCGCCCACCCCTGCCCTGAGTTCCTGAAACTGTGGGAGGGGTTGGGACATGACGTGGGGCCCATGACCACGGCCCTACTCACCTTTTCACCAAAAGAGCCAAAGATACCCGCAGTCCTGTGATTTCATGGTCATAGTCTTCCGTGGTGCTGAAATATTTCCCTCCTCCAGGGCCATACATCTCTGCAGGGAAGAGAAAACCAAGCAGGGGGGAAATCCCCACGCCATGATATGGGGGCGACCTCTGCCAGAACAGGGGACCCACCCCTCTAGCCAGACAGGGTGGTTCTGTGACCAGTTATTCTGGAGGGAGGGAGGGGAGATCGGGCACAGACCCCGCCGACTTACTCCCTGCCCAGGTGGGGCCCACCAGGAGGGCGAGGGTGAGCAGCAGCAGCATGGCCTCTGGCTGGCGCATCCCAGGGATCTGGGAGAAGAAGAGAGGGCTTCTGACTCCAAAGCAAGGGCCAGCCTGACCTCGCCGGGCCCCTCCACGGAGCCAAGCACCTTACCTGGCGGGGAGAGTCTTCGCTGGCGTCTGCTTGTGCCCGGCGCCCTCCAGGTCGCCTTTATACCCTCCTGTGCCCTCTGGGCCCCCATCCAGAAGGAAGGAGTGAGGGGACACCATGGGGACAGGAAGGAGCTGGTAGTGGGGCTCTTCCTGGGGGACGGCTCCCGGATGTGTGGCATTTGCTGTCTTGGCTCTTCAGCCTACACAAACAGGGCTGGGGACCGTGACAGGCATTTCACAGTCACATCTGGGCTGTCTCCAGTCAGCCCTGGCAGCAGTGCTGGATGGCAGAGGTGGGGAGACGCTGGCTCAGGGCCTTCTCCAGCTCAGCCTCACAGCTTCTACCCGAGGGGGGCGGGTCAGGGGTCCACAGAAGCTCCATGGGGCCCAATCCCGCCATGGGTGACCTAGAGTTAGGGCCTTCTTCAGGCTCAGGCAGTGCCTGGTGCCTGGCAGAGTTCCCGGGACCCAGGCTGAGCTCACCATGGGCCCTGAGAGAGCCCAAGTGGACCACCCAGCCCTCTGTGTTCCCTGCAACAGGCATGCCAGACGCTGGCCCTCCAGGTGCGGCCTTTGCAGGCTGCCTGGGGATGAGCCGGTGTTCTGGGGCTCACAGGCCATGGGAGGGAAGGCCACAAAAGGTGCAATCCCGGCCAGGACAGGAGGCAGAGGGCCTGGGGTGGATAACCCTGCAGACCCAACCTTCTGAGGCTTTTGTCCGCATCTGGGCAGGAACTGGCACCTCTCCAGGGCTTGTTCCTGGGGTGCTGCTGATTGTCTCACTCCTTTCCCCCTTGGCCCCTCCTGGTTGGGAGGCCAGTGCGGACAGATGCTGTGTGCAGCGCACTATCACCCTCAGACGCCGGCTGAAAAGGGCTCATGTTTGGAGACGTCTCATCCCAAGGATCCTGAGGGACCCAGGGCCACCCTATGGGGAGGGAACTGGGGTCTGCAGAAGAGGTGGGTGTCGGATAAGATTAGGGGAGAAGAGATAAAGGCCATCCGATGCCCAAGTGAGGCAGGCACCAGGGGACAGACTGCAGCTCAAGTGGAGTTCCACACTTGTCCTCAGGACACCTCTCACGTGTGTACGGGGGCTGAAGCTCTGCAGGGCCTGTGACTGCTGGGAATGGCCACGGGGCAGTGATCACCAGCACAGGACCCCGGAGCCAGACGATGGAGCAGGGCTGGGAACTTGCTTCACCTCTCTGGTCTCTGTTCTGTGTGGTTAACAACAGAATCTCCCGCTGAGAGTGCTGCGAGGAGCTGAGATCCTCCCCACAGGGCCGATTGCCCTGAGCCTGAGACTTTATGCCTTGGGGGAGAGTGAACAGTGTTAATTTTTGGAAAGAGACAAAGCTGAGAAGTCACGGGGGGCATCTACCTGGAGATTGCTCCCGCCGCAGACGCATTCCTCAGGGAAGTGGGGTGGGAGACCAGTGTGTCTGGACCCCGAGTGCTTCCCAGGAGGAGTCGTGGGGGAAGGGCTTTGGGCATGCACTGACTGGCTCTGGAAGCGCTGGCTCACCGGGAATGGGGATACTGGTCTCAATGGGATGAGGGTGGGCAGGGGCTGCAGGAGGGGCGGGCCTTTCATGACTTGAACCAGGTGCCTGCGCCAGGGGTGGCCAACTATGGATGGCCCAGCCAACCACCACGTGTTTCTGCCCAGCCCACAAGCAAGGAGAGCCTCCTACATGTCAACAGTGCTAGGAAACATTCAGAAGAACGGTGTCTTGTGGTCCATGAACATTCTGGAAATCCCCATGCCACCGGTTCATAAGTCAAGCACGATTGGCTCACAGCCGCGGGTGATCACTTGCATGTGGCCTGGGGCTGTTTTCGTGCTTGCACAGAAGCATAACATGACTGTGACTGAGACCCGCAGCCTCTGAACCTAAAATTGTACTATCTGGCCCCTCACACAAAAAGTCCACCCACCCTGGTGGATACCTATTCCTAAAGAACCACGGAAGCCCTGTCCATGGTGCTGGACGGCAGAGTAAGGAAGGGGGGCTCCCGGGACTCCCAGCCCTGATGGGGGCGGAAGCGCAGCAGCACATTAATCTTGGCACTGCTCTGGTTCTGATGCTGTCTGGTTCCATCTCCCTGGAGGGGCTGGTCAGGGCTGGGCTCCCAGCGACTGGCGTGTCAAGGTGAGGCCCCAATTGCCTCTGCTGCCACCCTTCTGCACCCGCCAAGGCTCCTCTGACTTCTGGGGACAGCAGGGACCAGGCCTGGGAAGGGTCAGTGGAGGCCCACTCAGGAGGAACCTCCTCCAGGGAGGTGGAGGTGGAAGAGGCCAAGTCCTTGGCCAGCACAGCTCTCGGAGGCAGGAGCTCGGAGGCGGCACAAAGCGGGGTGTGTTCTCCACCCAGCCTAGCCTGAGGGCGCCTTCCCAAGTTTGCTGGCAGTTCAGGGGCCTTGTTTCTGACTGCAGGCCGGCAGGGTTTGGCGCCCAGAAGGTGAGTCGTCTGGGCCAGGATTCCAGAAGCAGCAGCTGGGGTTGGGGGGACTTGGAGGAAGAGCCTGGCCGGAGGGGTGCGGGGACTCACCCAAATGCCCACTGGAGGGCTGTTCAGACGGCACAAGCACGGGGTTCACACACACTCACGCACGTGCGACTGGAGACGCAAGCACACACATGCCCCAGACACACGTGCCCGCCCAGCCTCTCCTGCACTCGGGGGGTGTGTGCACACGAGGACACTCCTCCTCACCTGCGTGTCCCGACCTGGGGAGGAAGCCCACCTGGTGGGAGGCACCACCCCACCCCCCTGCCCCCTCCATCTGCCCTGGCCCAGGTGCTGGCCCTGAGCCCATCCTCGGGGAGACTCAACACAGGCCCTTTGTCCCTCAGGATCAGGGCTCCTCAGGAGGGGGATTTACTGAGCATTTATTTCCTGCCCCAGGCACGCCCCAGCCCTCACTCTGCCAGGAAAGGGAACAATGAGGCCTTCTCCTGCCCACAGAGGTGGCCCCTGGCCCGCTGGCCTGTGCGCATCAGGAGTTGGATTAGGGCCACAAGCCCCTGGCCTCCCTGCCCTCCAGGTGTGGGGCTTGGGAAGATCCCTGTAAGGTCCAGCCCTACAGGGTCCTGTGAGCCCCTCTTTGCTGGTGTGGAGACGAGAAACTGTAGAAATAAAAGACACAAGACACAAAGACAGAGAAAACAGTTTGGGGTCAGCCAAGGGGTCCGCTGCCAACCAACTCGCGGAATCTGGCAGTGACCCCAAGTGCCTGGATGCTCTGACTTTTGTTGAGTACAAAGCTGGGGCAGGGACGGGTAGCTCATGGCACTGGTGGTCGGTGATAGGGTCAAGCACATCACGTGTCATATAGGTAGGGGCCCAAGGCTTTCTAGTAGCCAAGACGAGGTAAGAAGCATAATGCGTCAGCACTTTTCCATACTTGTCAAGAAAGAACAAAGACATTAAGGTTTCTATTACTTTTCCTGATTATCTCTTCTAAGAAAAAAGAAACCAGGTGCAGAAGCAGAGCATGAGAGTGAACCTGGAACGTGACCACTGAAGCCCAGCACCACATAGAGACAGTTGAGCCCCCGGATGTCCGCAGGCTTCCTGACAGCCGTCAGGCCCACAGCAAGAGGTTGGAGGAGCAGAGTTTTCTAACTCCCTTGAGGAAGGAGACATCTCAGCCATCTTGGATGTCTCCTTCCCTAACTGGCTAAATAGCAGGCACTTTCCCAGTTCTGGCCCTGCAGCAGAAGCTGAGGCGCCCTCCAGCAGCCCTTACACGGTGTGACAGAGGGCTTAAAGTGTCTTGTCTTAGGGTCATTCCTTTCACAATGTCACCCCAGGTTCACACTTTGTGACCTGAAAGGCATTAGTAAAAGAACTAAGATCACGCATGAATAACTAAGATCATGTATGAATAACTAAGATCACGTATGAATAATTAAGATCACATATGAATAACTAAGATCACGTATGAATAACTAAGATCACCTGTGAATAACTAAGATCACGTATGAATAAGATCACCTATGAATAATTAAGATCATGTATGAATAACTAAAATCATGTATGAATAACTAAGATCACCTGTGAATACCTAAGATCACGTATGAATAACTAAGATCACCTGTGAATAACTAAGATCACATATGAATAATTAAGATCACGTATGAATAACTAAGATCACCTATGAATAAAGATCACATATGAATAGCTAAGATCATGTATGAATAAGATCACGTATGAATAACTAAGATCACCTATGAATAACTAAGATCATGTATGAATAATTAAGATCACCTATGAATAATTAAGCACATATAAATAACTAAGATCATGTATGAATAATTAAGATCACGTATGGATAACTAAGATCACATGAGTCATTAAGATCACGTATGAATAACTAAGATCACCTGTGAATAAGATCACCTATGAATAAGATCACATATGAATAGCTAAGATCACGTATGAATAATTAAGATCACATATGAATAATTAAGATCATGTATGAATAACTAAGATCAGCTATGAATAAAGATCACGTATGAATAGCTAAGATCACGTATGAATAACTAAGATCATGTATGAATAATTAAGATCACCTATGAATCATTAAGCACATATAAATAACTAAGATCATGTATGAATAATTAAGATCACGTATGGATAACTAAGATTACATATGAGTCATTAAGATCACGTATGAATAACTAAGATCACCTGTGAATAAGATCACCTATGAATAAGATCACATATGAATAGCTAAGATCACGTATGAATAATTAAGATCACATATGAATAATTAAGATCATGTATGAATAACTAAGATCAGCTATGAATAAAGATCACGTATGAATAGCTAAGATCACGTATGAATAACTAAGATCATGTATGAATAATTAAGATCACATATGAATCATTAAGATCATGTATGAATAACTAAGATCAGCTATGAATAAAGATCACGTATGAATAGCTAAGATCACGTATGAATAACTAAGATCATCTGTGAATAACTAGTATGGTTATATCGCTGGTTATTTTCCTTCTTCATTATTTACATGGAAATAGGCTTCTAACTCCTGACTCTGCACTTATGGGGTCTCCCTAACACAGTCCCCTCTGTGGCTCTGCAGCCTGAGCCACAGCGGACAGGAGGGTCTCCATGTACACCCACTCAGTGGGTGGACCCTCTACAGCCTGGGGTCAAGGCTGGGCCTCTGAGGGAATCTCCTAGCCTCACTGGAGGCATCTCTGGTAGGATCTCCAGGTAGACCTGGCCTGGCTAAGGTCAGCTGAGACTCAGCTAAGCCAGGAGCTGACTTCTCCCAGGGGCCCCAGGGATTCCCTGGGGCTCAGAAACCAGAGGGAAGGTCCTGCTGGATGGGGGAGGGGCAGCAACAGAAGCCCAGGGGTCTTTGCCCTGACCCCAGCAGGCTGAGGCCGGGCTGTGCATGTGACTTACCCTTGAGAGGCTGCTGCTGGGGATGAGGCCCCAAGGGCAGGCACCGCAGCCCTGAGCTTCGGAAACCCACAGCTCCCACAGCCCACCACACTCACTGAGCTCCTGTTGGTGCCATGTTCAGCCAAAGCATTTTATCTGCACTTTCCCCAAAGAAACCTAATATTTTGTTGGAAAACCAGGACACTTAACCACACATTTTGCTCAGTCTTTCATGTAACTAACATTCCACGAGTGCAAGTATTGAAAATAGAATAAACTATACCCAAGTTTCAAGTTGAGGGAGGCGGGATTCCCGGGTTCTGGGTTCCCTAGCCTGGGTGACAAGAGTGACACTGTGTCTGAATTTAAAAAAAAAAAAAAAAAAAAAAGAAAGGAAAAAAAAGATTCGTTTTGGAGGAGTGAGGAGAGCCCAGCTGGAGCCCTCAATGGGGACGGCCTGGGCAGGTGGGGACTGGCCATCCCTGTTCTGGGAGGAAGGGGCCCAGGACCATTGTTTTCCCAAGAAAGTCCTGTGAAGGACCAGCAATGCTGCCCCGCCGCACCCCGCCCTGGGGCCTCCAGGCATTAAGGGGACTCCTGGCTTAGAGCCAGGCCCTTGGTGCTGGAGGAGGTCATGGGTGGAGGATAGGGGGCACCAAGCGGGCAGCCAGGACCCCAGGGCTGCAGACAAGAAAGGGATTGTGGGGGTCCCCCAGGTCTGGGCCACATCAACCAATGTGATTGAGGACCCGCCCCTAGGAGCTGAAAGCCAGGGCGCTGCCAGGCCTGAGGGTCCCTAAACCGCCCTTGGGCCCAGGGCGGGTGAAGCTGGGGGGAGGGGGCAGAGCTCCACCGCCCCGCCCCTAGGGGGCGCCCCAGGCGCGACGCGGGAGGAGGCAGAGGGGGCGCCAGGCCGCGGGAGAGGAGGCCATGGGCGCTCGAGGGGCGCTGCTGCTGGCGCTGCTGCTGGCGCGGGCGGGACTCGGGAAGCCGGGTGAGCTCGGGGCGTTGGGGAGCTGGAGGCCGTGGGGAGCTCACTTCTTGTCTCCTACAGAGCCGCCGGAAGGGGGGCTGTTGTCAGGTAGGCCCCCCGGGTCCCGCGATGCCTGTCGGGGCCGCTGGGCCGGGTGCTTGGGGGTGGGGGCCCGTCTACGGCTCTCCGGCCCCCGCCCCCAGGATTGAGAACTCCGTTGGCGCTGGCGGGGGGAAGGGCGGGCCCCATGGGCCACGTGGGAGGGTCCCCGTGTCCTCTGCTTCCTGCTGCACACGTGCAAGGGGCCCTGGGTGGGCAAAACGTGGTCTCCCGGACTGGGCTGAAGGAGAGAAAGGGAGAGGCTGGGCTTGGGGGGGCCGCCTCCCGCAGCTCAGCAGTTCCTCTGACCATCCGAGGACCATGCGGCCAACGGATCATCCAGGCGCGCATCGTGGGTGGAGGCGACGCCGAGCTCGGGCGTTGGCCATGGCAGGGGAGCCTCCGCCTGTGGGATTCCCACGTGTGCGGAGCGAGCCTGCTCAGCCGCCGCTGGGTGCTCACGGCGGCGCACTGCTTTGACTCGTGAGTGGGGGAACGAATGGAGGGGTGCAGGGGCGGGCAGCAGGGTTGGGGGTGGGGAGTACCACCTAACGTTACCAACGCTCTGATACCACACTTGGGCGTGAAAGTTCGTGGATGAGACCTGCTGTTCTGAGCCCCAGGCTCTGCTGCAGTCGGATACACCCACTCCAGCTCCCTTTGATTCCCCTGGAGGAAACCCTGTTCAGGTTCTTCCAGAATGTTCTTCCAGAACATTTCCACGCCATTTTTGGTATGCACTTTATTTTTCAACCAAAAGTTCACCACCTTCCATCCCCCCCTCATCCCTGCTCCTGGTGGATGCGCAGCGCAGGTGTAAGCCCTGAGCCAAGGCCAGCTCCCTGGGGAAGCTGTGTGGACTTCATCCCACCAAGCCTCATTGCCACGGGTGCATCTGCCCGTTTCTCCTTGGGCTGCATGGGGGTGCCCCTGGAGGCCCCTGGCTCAATGCAAGTGTCCTTGGGACAGCTCTGGGAAGTGACAAGACCCCACCCTTTTGCTGTAGGAGCAGGTCCTAGGACTTTGTGTGTGGCCTCTCTGGGCTCTTTCATTTCTCCAGTGGACCCTGGGCCATGAGGACTTGCTAGTGGCGCCCAGGATGAGCAAGGAGTAGCAACCCCACAGTCTCCCCTCCTGGGCCCCAGGTGCGCTCAGGCGGCCAGCCCTCCATCCGGGGTCTCCAGGTCCCAGGTGCGCTCAGGCGGCCAGCCCTCCATCCGGGGGTCTCCAGGCCCCAGGTGCGCTCAGGCGGCCAGCCCTCCATCCGGGGTCTCCAGGCCCCAGGTGCGCTCAGGCGGCCAGCCCTCCATCCCGGGTCTCCAGGCCCCAGGTGCACTCAGGCGGCCAGCCCTCCATCCGGGGTCTCCAGGCCCCAGGTGCGCTCAGGCGGCCAGCCCTCCATCCCGGGTCTCCAGGCCCCAGGTGCGCTCAGGCGGCCAGCCCTCCATCCGGGGGTCTCCAGGCCCCAGGTGTGCTCAGGCGGCCAGCCCTCCATCCGGGGTCTCCAGGCCCCAGGTGTGCTCAGGCGGTCAGCCCTCCATCCCGGGTCTCTGACTGCTCTCTTCTCGTCTATCAGCTACGGTGACCATGCTGATTACTCCAGGTGGACGGTCCAGTTTGGCCAGCTGACTTCTGCACCACCCTTCTGGAGCCTGCAGGCCTACTACACCCGTTACTTCGTGTCAAATATCTATTTGAGCCCTCGATACCTGGGGAATTCACCCTATGACATTGCCTTGGTGAAGCTGTCTACACCTGTCACCTACACTAGCCATATCCAGCCCATCTGTCTCCTGGCCTCCACATTTGAGTTTGAGAACCGGACGGACTGCTGGGTGACCGGCTGGGGAAACATCCAAGAGGAAGAGGGTGAGGCTGGGGACAGGTGGGTTAGGGAGGAGCTATCTTTGTTCACCTGTTCCCCTACATAGGTACAACAGCCCCATGCTTGGGCTGGGGGTGCAGCCTACACCCCTCCTGCTCACATTCTCCCCTCATCTGCCAGGGTAGGGACCAAACACCCATTTCTCTCCCTTCTAGGGGCCGTGGGGGCCAGCTTGGCGCAGGCCTGCGCATGGTGGAGGGGTTCTGGAGGGTTGGTGACATAAACCTCAGACTTGGATTTGTTCCTGGATCGTTTCACCTCCCCCAGTGCCCACCAGTGCCCCAGGCATCAGGCTCCCTGGCTGCCTCTCCAAGCCTCCTGCATCCACCCTAGCGCTGGCTGACTCCGGGAGCACTGAGCCCATTCCTCTCTCCGGAAACTTCCAAGCCATGTTCAACGGCAGCTCCCACGGAAACCCCTCTGGGGGTCCTCCGGTGGGCCTGCCCTGGCCCCTGCGTGTCTCCCAACATGCATGCCCTGAAAGAACTGGGCCCAGCATCTGGAGGAGCCCCAGGGCCGGCAGCCCCAGACTGGACATGTTCCCTATATCAGGAATTCCCTTCCCTCTGCTCCCCGGTCTGGCCCATAACAATAGTAACAATAACACGAGGTTCCTTGAGCACACACTGTGTGCCTGGCACTGTTCTAGGCTTGGGGACCCAGCAGTGAGCCAGACGAGGCCTCTCTTCCTCCTGGAGCTCACCTAGGAATGAAGTTGGCAACGGTTTTATACCCATTTTACAGATGAGAAAACTGAGAGGGTTATGGAAATTGCCAAGAGCTAGTAAATGATGAAGTCAGGGCCCCTTGCCTTAGAGGGTAAGGGTTGTCCCCAAGTCACACCCTGGCAGTTGGAAGCAGTAGAGAACTCAGCACTGGAGCCGCCTCCCTCTAGAGGAGGGGTCCTTTCCCTTCCTTGAGAAGGGCCCCTGCTGCAAAGATGGGTGGGTGTGAGCCAGGGGCATGGCCGGGCTTCCTCTGCCACCCTCTCTCCCAGGCCCAGGGTGGACAAGTCACACTAACCCCAGGCTGTGCCTCAAGTCATAGTGCATGGGAGGTGGGAGGCAGGCATTTCTGGAGCCCTCTGCCTGGTGTGTGCCTTTGCTCTGCCCTGGGCTGGCTGTGAGGCCTTGGGCAAAGCTGTTCATCTCATGGTGCCTCAGTTTCCTCCCCTGTGAAATTGGGTAATAATAGTTTCACATCACAGGCTAGTTCCCAGCTCGTTAATCCGGAGGGCTTAGGAGAGGCTCCGCCCATGGGAAGCCCTGCCTGCAGGCTGGTCTTGACGCCTTTGTCATCCTCTGCAGGACAAGGTGCTGGCTGGGACTCAGAGGCAGGAACTCAATAGGTGTGGGTTCCTGTCAGGCTCCGGGACTTCCCCAGCGCCTTGCCGGGGGTCAGCGGGGCGATATCCCCCCTACTCTCCTTATGTGGGAGTGAGTCCTGATGACTGCTGCCTCCCAGGGGTGCTGGGGGAGCCCTAAGAGCGCCGTGACAAGCTTGTGCCGAGGCCCTGAATGCGCCCAGCTGCTACTGAGGCCACGGCTGCAGCCAGGCTGACACCACCCCCTGCCCCGCCGCTGGGTCTGGCCTTGGGTGCTCATCTTAACATCATCTCAGCTGTCTTCTCCTCTCCCCCTGCTCCTTTTGGCTAAGGAGTCTTTCCATGGGCGCAGGCAGGGCCACTGTCGCCATTCTACAGATAGGGAAAGTGAGGCTGGGGAGAGCTCTGACAGCCTGTCCATCCCCCCCGCCCCAGGCCTTCTGTGATGAAGATGCTGAGGGCCTCTGCTGTGCTGGGGCTGATGGGGATGAACGTGCCGGGTGCTGTGGGTGCCCCAGGGCCCCACCCCCGCAGCCTATTCCATCCCTCCCTAGAGGGGCCTCAGGTTGCTGTCTCTCTCCTTCCCCGCGTCGTCTCCACAGAACTGCCGCATCCCCACACCCTCCAGGAGGTGCAGGTCGCCATCATCAACAACACTATGTGCTACCACCTCTTCCTAAAGCCTGATTTCCGCACCAACATCTTTGGAGACATGATTTGTGCCGGCGATGCCCAAGGCGGGAAGGATTCCTGCTTCGTGAGTGTTCCTGCCACCATCCCCAGCCCGGGGCCTTATTTGACCCTCAGGTTAACCCCAGGAGGTGGAGACTGCTGCCCCACTCTGCAGACCCAGAAACGGAGGCTTGGCTGCTGCCGGGGGGAGGAGGAGGACGTTCACCCAGCCCACCCAGCCCCACAGCCCCTCTCACTCTCAGCCTCTCCCTGCCCCACTCGCTCCACCCCAGGCTGACCTCACCCCCCATGGCCCTCCGGCTCTCCAGGGTGACTCAGGTGGACCGTTGGCCTGTGACAAGAATGGAATGTGGTATCAGGTTGGAGTTGTGAGCTGGGGAGTGGGCTGTGGTCGGCCCAATCGGCCCGGTGTCTACACCAATATCAGCCAGCACTTCGGGTGGATCCAGAAGCTGATGACCCAGAGTGGCATGGCACGGCCAGACCCCTCCTGCCTGCTGCTCTTTCTCCCTCTTTTCTGGGCTCCCCGACTCCTGCAGCCGGCCTGAGCCCACCCGAGCCCATGCAGGCTGGGGCCACTGCTAAGTCAGGCCCTGGTTCTCTTCTGTTTTGTTCAGTAATAAACACATTTGAGTTGACGCTTTACAGAGCATTTCTCAAACTCGGGAGCTTCATGGACAGCTCATCCTCCCTTGTGCAGCCAGCCTGTCCATGCCCCTGGCTCACACCCACATCTGTGCTGCACAATAGAACCATCTGGTTATTTCAATCAGAACTGTGCGTTGCCCAGGCTGGTCTTGAACTCCTAGGCTAGTCCCGATCTTCCCGCCTCACCCTCCTGAGTAGCTGAAGTTATAGACGAACATCATGCCCAGCAATGGAATGGGAGTAGTTCCAGGGTGCCAGGAGCTGGGAGGCCAGGAGTGGGAGTGTGTGCATTGGAGGAAATGATCCTGACACCCCTCACCCACCAAGGATCCAGCACAAACGCCAGACATCCTGATCTTACCATGGACCCCCAAGGCTGACCTAGCACCAGGAGGTGACTGCAGGAGGTGGGGAAACCAAGGCAGGGAAGGGAGGAACACCAATGAGCTTGCACAAACAAGGAGGTCCAGCCTCGACCCCAGGCTGCAGGGGTTCCTGCCCACTGAGTGGGTATAGATGGAGACCCTCTTTTCTGCCGTGCCTCAGTCTTCAGAGCCACAGAGGGGTCTTCCCAAGCCCCAAACCTGGAGGGCAGGGAGGCCAGGGGCTTGTGGCCTTAACCCAACTCCTGACACAGAAGGGCCAGCGGGCCAGGGGCCACCTCTGTGGGCAGGAGAAGGCCTCATTGTTCCCTCTCCTGGCAGAGTGAGGGCTGGGGCGTGCCTGGGGCAGGAAATAAATGCTCAGTAAATCCCCCTCCTGAGGAGCCCTGATCCTGAGGGACAAAGGACCTGTGTTGAGTCTCCCCGAGGATGGGCTCAGGGCCAGCACCTGGGCCAGGGCAGATGGAGGGGGCAGGGGGGTGGGGTGGTGCCTCCCACCAGGTGGGCTTCCTCCCCAGGTCGGGACACGCAGGTGAGGAGGAGTGTCCTCGTGTGCACACACCCCCCGAGTGCAGGAGAGGCTGGGCGGGCGCGTGTGTCTGGGCATGTGTGTGCTTGCGTCTCCAGTCGCACGTGCGTGAGTGAGTGTGTGTGAACCCCGTGCTTGTGCCGTCTGAACAGCCCTCCAGTGGGCATTTGGGTGAGTCCCGGCACCCCTCCGGCCAGGCTCTTCCTCCAAGTCCCCCCAACCCCAGCTGCTGCTTCTGGAATCCTGGCCCAGACGACTCACCTTCTGGGCGCCAAACCCTGCCGGCCTGCAGTCAGAAACAAGGCCCCTGAACTGCCAGCAAACTTGGGAAGGCGCCCTCAGGCTAGGCTGGGTGGAGAACACACCCCGCTTTGTGCCGCCTCCGAGCTCCTGCCTCCGAGAGCTGTGCTGGCCAAGGACTTGGCCTCTTCCACCTCCACCTCCCTGGAGGAGGCTCCTCCTGAGTGGGGCTCCACTGACCCTTCCCAGGCCTGGTCCCTGCTGTCCCCAGAAGTCAGAGGAGCCTTGGGGGGTGCAGAAGGGTGGCAGCAGAGGCGCAATTGGGGCCTCCCTTGACACACCAGTCGCTGGGAGCCCAGCCCTGACCGGCCCCTCCAGGGAGACGGAACCAGACAGCATCAGAACCAGAGCAGGTGCCAAGACTAGAGTGAGGCTCTGCTTGTGCCCCGTCAGCCTCTGGCAACTTCAGTTTTACTTTCTGTCTCTAGCTTTTTACTCCTCTAAGTCCTTCATGTGTGTGAAATCATACAGTGCTGGTCTTTTGTGACTGGCTTATTTCACTGAGCTCAGTGTCTTCATGGCTCATCCGTGGCACGGTGTGTGTCAGGATATCCTCCCTCCCTCCCTCCCTCCCTGTCTTCCTTTCTTTCCTTCCTTCCCTCCCTCTCTTTTCTTTCTTTCCTTCCTTCCTTTTATTTTTCCTTCTTTTTCTCTTTCTCCCTCTCTTTTCTTCCTTCTTTCTTTTGACAGGGTCTCCCTCTATGGCCCAGGCTGGAGTGCAGTGGTGAGATCTTGACTCACAGCAGCCTCCACCACCCAGGCTCCACCCAATCGGCTCCCCTCATCCTCCTGAGTAGCTGGGAGCACAGGTGAGGGCCATCACACCCCGCTAAGTTTTTATTTTGAATTTTTTATAGAGAAAATTGTTGTCCAGGCTGGTCTCAAACTCCTGACCTCCAGTGATCCTCCTGCCCCAGCCTCGCAAAGTGTTGGGATTACAAGTGCGGGCCACCGCACCCGGCCCCCTCCAATTCTCTTGTCCTCTTTCCCTTCATTAAGACAGCCAGAACAATGAATAAACAATTAATTTTCAATGAAAATAACTGAGGAAGAGCGCCAGGGTGCTTTAGAGGAGTAACAGAAGGCTGGGTGAGCGGAGAAGGTCGGGATGGCCGCATGAAGAATAAGGAAACACTGGGACCGCACTGCGCCCCAGTCCCCAACCAGGGTCATCTGGGAACAAGGCGAGGAGGTAAGCAAGGGATGGCAGGAGCCCCACCAGCACCTGGGACACCTGCAGCCCTCACCGCCAGCGCCCTCTGTCTTCATGGGCACTACGCCAGGCGAGGGGGCGGCCTGAGCGGCACAGCTGGGCTCCCACGGAGGACCCCACAGCCAGCCCTTTCCTGCAGTCGTGTGGCTCCCGCACTGCGCCGTCGCCGAATTGGAACTGGGGCCACAGCACGTCTTGCCCTGGGATTGAGTAGCCACAGCTGCCCTTGAACCCTGAGATGAAGCCACCACCGAACCTGTCAGCCTGGTGGCTTCACACCCCTGAACTGAGCTGTGAGCAGCGGTCACACCCTTGCCCTCGGGGCCAAGTGGAGGTGGAGGTGCTCTAGGAACCGTCCCCCTTTCCCGAGCCAGAGCTGAAGTCACAACCTGCCTCCTTGGCTGCTCAGAGGTGAAGCCGGAGAAGCTGCTGCGTTCCAGGAAACGGTGCCTGGCCGCCCAGAACACTCATCCCCAGGCCCGAGCGCAAGCAGCCTGCTTTCCCCAGGAGTTCGGCGCCCTGGCTGAGCTGAGCTGCTGCGGATCCCGGGCAAACAGGGCAGTGGCTGAGCTGAGACACCGCCCTGTGGGCCGGATCAGCTTCAGAGACAGCCCTCTCCCTGGAAAGTGGGTCTCCCTGGGCTGCTCCCTGCCTTCCTCTGCAACGTGCTGTTCCCGGACGCCTCGCTCCCCCACAGCGGGGAGCCACCAAATGACAGCTGTGCTCTGCCACTCTGCCACTGTATCTGACCTCACAGAGTCCGGCAGACTGCCAAGCCCCACCGTCTCGGGGTCCAGAGCCTCAGCCCCAAACCCTGAGTTACGCTGAGCCCGATCGGCTCAGGTCCCGGAACTGCAGCCGTGTCCTGATCCCCAGGTTTAAACCTGAAGCACCACATCTTCCCCAGAGTTGGGCCGTTGCTCTGCCCTGTCCCCCAGGGGAGAATCACAGCTACAACCCAGTCCCCTGGGCCTGACCTGCTGGTGGGTGCCTCAGAATTACAGATCCTGTGGGGGTGGGGGATGGGGGAGGGATGGCATTAGGAGAAATACCTAATGTAGACGAGGGGGTGAGAGATGCAGAAACCACCATGACAGGTGCAGAAGTAACAAACCTGCACGTTCTGCGCATGTACCCCAGAACTTAAGTGTAATTAAAAAAAGAATTACATATCCTGGCTCTGTGGGCAATGCACATTCAACCTGCTAGAGAATAAACCTGCACCCAACGGCCCAGGCCTGGCCTCGGTTTGTATGCCAGGCCCTGGGCCTAGGACCCCAGCCCCACAGCTGGGCGGCACCCACGAAGCCAGCGCCACTGCACCTTCATGTAGGCCACATTGGACTTGACACCAAAAGGTCCCCTTTGGCTGCACACCCCCATTGTGGGGAAAATAAGAATAGGAGGATCCCAAAACCTTTTTTTTTTCTTTTTTTACAGCAAGTGTTTTCATTTTTTTTTATTTTTAGACAGAGTTTCGCTCTTGTTACCCAGGCTGGAGTGCAATGGCGCGATCTCTGCTCACCGCAACCTCCGTCTCCTGGGTTCAGGCAATTCTCCTGCCTCAGCCTCCTGAGTAGCTGGGATTACAGGCGCGCACCACCGTGCCCAGCTAATTTTTTGTATTTTTAGTAGAGACGGGGTTTCACCATGTTGACCAGGATGGTCTCGATCTCTCGACCTCGTGATCCACCCACCTCGGCCTCCCAAAGTGCTGGGATTACAGGCTTGAGCCACCGCGCCCCGCCCGTCTTTTCATTTTTATTACTCAAAGTTTCCCTTTTAATTCAGCTTTCTGACTCTGTGCCTGCGGCTTCAACACTTTCACAACGAGTTTCTGCTCCTCGATCAGGAAACAGGCTCGATCCCGTCACGAACACATTCAGCGCACGTGGAACCACCACAGGCCGGGCTGGCATGTTTCTTTGTTTCGGACACTCTTATAAGAACTTTAGGTCTCACAGCACGAACCCCTCGAAGCCTGACTGGGCACACGCCACATGCAGATTTTGGTGCTTTCCCAACCTTCTTGGTATAAAGGTAAACAATTCTATTACCAGGGGTCCGGGACAGCCTAGTTTCGTTAGAGACCGTATTGTAGGAAAGCCTACGCCGGTATGTCAAATGCTGGACCATTCTGAGTGCCTGCACACAGCGTCCCCGGGAGAGCCCCAAAACCTCTTGACATCAAGGACATTAACAGCCACGGCCACAAATCTCTATAGCCTGGGCCTCGAGGCCCGCAGTGATTGCTGATGCTCGGCCATAGAGACCCCCACCCAGGCGGCGCTGAAGGAACTGAGAGGCAGACACTCAAACAGCAAAGTGCGACTATCCACGGGGTCAGCAACCTGCTAGGCCGAGAGCCTCAGGTGCTGACAGCGTTCTGTTCTAAGAGCCTCGAGCAGACGCTGACTCGCGAGTTTATTCTCTCTGAACAGGTGATGATTGTTAACAGACAGCTGTTTGGCATTTTCTCATAACACAAAATATGCCAAGTAGGCAGCTGGTGCCCGCTTACCACTGATCACAGACAAACTGAAAAGTATTCTCCACGAGGGAGCCACGGGGGCAGCGTCAGATGTTCCGAGCTTAAAGAATTGTTGTAACCGGTGTATGATATTTATATATTGTCCTGCCACTTTAGAATGCCCCAGGTAGTTTCCGACTTGGGGGGAGTGTTTAGGTTTTCCTTGCCATCGTTCTTCCTAGCGAACAATATATTCTATCACACACTCAGCATTTCTCAATATTCATAAACGTGACATTTCTCAACACTCAACACAGCTGAAGAGCTGCACGGAGACCATGTCACTGCACCCATCTGGAAACAGCTGCCCCACCCTTTCCAACCAGCATGCTAAGGACCCAACTGCAGGAGAAGGTCTATCCCTATGAAAGCCACTCTAGAAACTTTGGAAGAGGCGATCGTTCCGCCAGATGTACAGACATCAGTGCCAGGACACCAGAAACACGAAGCAGCAGGGAAATCTGACACACTCAAGGGACTTAAGTGTCTAGTAACAGACGCCAATGGAGGAGGAAATCAGTGAATTGCCAGAAATAAATTCAAAATGATGGTCTTAGGAAAACTAAAGGAGGCCGGGCACAGTGGCTCATGCCTGTAATCCCAGCACGTTGGGAGGCCGAGGCGGGTGGATCACCTGAGGTCGGGAGTTCGAGACCAGCCTGACCAACATGGAGAAACCCTGTCTTTACTAAAAATACAGAATTAGCCTGATGTGGTGGCGCGTGCCTGTAATCTCAGCTACTCGGGAGGCCGAGGCAGGAGAATTGCTTGAACCCGGGAGGTGGAGGTTGCGGTGAGCCGAGATCGTGCCACCCAGCCTGGGCAACAAGAGTGAAACCCCATCTTAAAAAAAGGACCTCCCTCAACGTGTGGGGTCGGGGGGCAAGAGAGAAACACTCACTCCTGGTGTCCTTGGCCTCAATGGGCCAATGCTGAAGCCCCCACAGGATTGTGGCTCAATGTCTCCCAGTTTGAGCAAATTCATTGGCATTTGTGCCTTCCATGTCTTGGTTTCTCCATTTTCTCACCTTTGCTTCCTGGGATAAACTGCCCGTGCCCATGTCTTGGTTTCAAGTCAACCACTGGCGTGACCAAAACAAGATCAGAAACATCTGGCATGTGTGTGATTGGGAACCCCGGGATGGGGGCAGCGGGAGCACTTCCTCCATGGCGCCCCCAATCCATGTCTTCCCACCTCTCTGACACACTCAACCACTACCGCTCTTCCATCAGTTATCTTTCTGATTGAAATAACCAGAGGGTCCTGCTGTTTGCAACAAGAACCTGGATAACAATTTAGGAGTTCAGGTAGGGTCTTGGCCTGGATCGGACATGAGAGAAGAGGAGGGAGTCGTCCAGGAAGCCCCTTAGGTCCACAGAAAGTTATGCAAAGCATCAGCTTTAACATGCACACGTATTTATTAGCAAATGGGACAAAAGGGGCTGGAATCTGATCCCAACCCTGTCCTTGAAGTGCCACAGCCCGGGGAAGCGAACCAATACTGTGGTCCCCACTGTAACCTCACAGTCTCTGGTGCATTCAAGATGGCTGCAGGAGTCAGGGAGCCCACAGCAGAGCTAGGAGCAGCAGCAGCTGGGAGGGGCTTGGCCTGGGCGCACTGTGGGACATCACCCTCCGGATCCAGTGGAAGTACTCACTGATGTTTGTGTAGACACCAGGCCGATTGGGTTGACCACAGTCCATTCCCCAGCTCACGATTCCAACCTGATACCACAGTCCATCTTTGTCACAGACCAAGGGTCCACCGGAGTCACCCTGGGGAGCAGCATGGGTGAGCCCAGCCTGGGGCAGAGTGGACAGGGCAGCAGAGAGGCCATGAGAGCAGAAGGGTCTGCGGGGCTGGGCAGACTGAATGCAAATCTCACTCCTTCCCGTGGAATCTACCAAGTCTTAGTTTCTATACCTTCAAAGTGGGGCAACGGCCTCCAGGGGTTGACGAGTTAATCAGACAGAATTTATGCAAAATGAGAAGCATGGTTTGTAGGCTCAGTAACTAAGACTGCACTGGTTTTCTGATAAGAAATTCAAACAATAGGCTGGGAGTGGTTGTGGGGGAGGAGATGGTAGCTGCTCTCAGGCCTGGAGCTGGGGATGGTGGGATTCCCTGGTGGGGTAGAGGCACTCACTTTGCAGGTGTCTACACTGCCATCTTCAGCACCAGCACAAAACATGGAATCCTGGATCATACCACGGCTAGAGGGCTGTTCAAACAGGTAATTACACCTGGTGTTGTTTAAGATGGTGACTTGTGCTTCCCGGAGTCTGTAAGGTGGTGGCAGACGTGCTGGAGATAGGACAGAAAAGACAGCACCCTTTACCTCTCCTCTGCCATCTGGAGCAGGGAGAGGAGAAAGGGCATGTGTTATAGTGGTGGTGAGGGGTCCCTGACACACCCACAGTGCCTGGCATTGCTCTCGACTCCCCAGCACCTAATACATCAAGAGCAATCAACAGTATCATAGAATCACCCAACAGATGGCCAGGTTGTTGCAGAGCTTCCTGGAACTCAGTTTCTCTAACTGTAGAATGGAGATGATAGCCCCTGCCTGAGTCAGTGGAGAGATTTCTCAGCCAAAGCATGGCAGGAGGACGGGTAACAGTAGATGAGAATGTTTATGAATAACACACTGCAGCTGTGGGATCCAGGTCAAAACTTGCCATATTTGATGAATGACATGAACCCACAGATTGAAGAAGCTGAGCACACTCCACGTAGGATAAACGTAAAAAGATTTACACAGAGACACATTACAATCAAACTAACAAATGATAAAGAGAGAATTTTTCTTTAACATTTTTTTTCAGAGACGGGGTTTCACCATGTTGGCCAGGATGGTCTCGATCTCTTGACCTCATGATCCGCCCGCCTTGCCCTCCCAAAGTGCTGCGATTACAGGTGTGAGCCACCGTGCCCGGCCTAAGAGAGAATCTTATGAGCAGGAAGAGAGAAGTGATTCATCAAGGACAAGGAATCTTTAGCAAGATTAATAGAAACACAAAGAATTTTATTTGGGAGGAAAAAAATAAAGAAATTAAGACATTCTCAGATAACCAAAAGCTGAGAAGATATGCCATTTAGTCAAACTATCCCACAAGAAGTGTACAGAGGAATCCGTCCAGTTGAAATGAAAGCACACTAGAGAGTAACTCAAAGTCATACACACGAGCCCTGGTTAAGGTAACTACACAGGTAAATGCAAAAGTCAGTATTACTGTAGTTTTTGTGTGCAACTCCTCTTTTTCCTATGTAATTTAAAAGATGGGCCGGGCGCATCTTAATCCCAGCACTTTGGGAGGCCGAGGCGGGTGGATCACGAGGTCAAGAGATCAAGACCATCCTGGTCAACATGGTGAAACCCCGTCTCTACTAAAAATACAAAAATTAGCTGGGCGTCGTGGCGTGTGCCTGTAATCCCAGCTACTCAGGAGGCTGAGGCGGGAGAATTGCCTGAACCCAGGAGGCGGAGGTTGCGGTGAGCCGGGATCGCGCCATTGCACTCCAGCCTGGGTAACAAGAGCGAAACTCCGCCTCAAAAAAAAAAAAAAAAAAAAAAAAAAAAAAAAAAAAATGAGCGCTAGAACAACACCATGAATCAGCCATTCCTGACACGCAGAGAACAATAGTGGAATGTGGAATCTTCCAAAGTGTAAGCAGAACATTCTCCAGGATAAACAATAGGTCAGGTCACAAAATAAGTTGCAGCTGAAATCACAAAACATCTTCACTGACCACAATGAAACTAAGTCAATAACAGAATGAAGAAGGAAACATTCACAAACTTACAGAAATGAAGCAACACACGTTTGAATGACAGGCCAAAGCAGAAATCACAAGGAAAATCAGAAAACACTTTGAGATGAATGAAAATGAAAACACAAAAGATAAACACTTACGGGCAGCAGCAGCAGCCGTTCTCAGAAGGAAATATGAGCTATAAATGCCCACATTAATAAAGAAGGAACATCTCAAATCAGTAACTTTACATTTTAAGAAACCAGCAAAAGAAGAAACTAAATACAGAGCTAGCAGAAAGAAGGGAACAGGCCGGGAGCAGTGACTCACACTGGTAATCCCAGCACTTTGGGAGGACGAGGCAGGCAGATCACCTGAGGTCAGGAGTTCAAGACCGGCCTGGCCGACATCGTGAAACCCTGTCTCTACGGAAAATATACAAATTAGCCAGGCATGGTGGCAGGCGTCTGTAATCCCATCTTCTAGGGAGGCTGAGGCAGGAGAATCACTTGAACCCAGGAAGCAGAGTTGCAGTGAGCCGAGGTAGTGCCACTGCACTCCAGTCTGGTGACAAGAGTGAAACTCCATCGGAAAAAAAAGAAGAAGAAGAAAAAGAAGGGAATAAAGAGGAGAATGGAGAAAGATGAACTAGAGGTTAGAAAAACAACGGAGGAAATTAATAAAATCAAAAGTTGGTTCTTTGAGAGCTTAAGAAAACATTACATTTGTAATAGCATCAAAGAGAGTAAAACAGAGATTAATTTAATTGAGGAATTACAAGACTTGTACTCACATTTACTTTTTTGAGATGGAGTCTCACTCCGTTGCCCAGGCTGGAGTGCAGTGGCACCATCTTGGTTCACTGCAACTTCCACCTCCCGGGTTCAAGCAATTCTCCTGCCTCAGCCTCCCGAGTAGCTGGGATTACAGGCACAAGCCACCACGCCCAGCTAATTTTTATATTTTTAGTAGAGATGGGGTCTCACCATTTTGGCCAGGCTGGTGTTGAACTCCTGACCTCAAGTGATCCGCCCGCCTCAGCCTCCCAAAGTGCTGGGATTATAGGCGTGCGCCACTGTGTCCCTACAATCACATTTAAAATGTGAAAAATCCTGTTATTAGGGAAATGCAAATAAAACCACGAGATGCCACTTCACACCCACTAGGATGGCTACAATTTAAAAATTGCAAAATAAATGTGCTGATGAGAATAGGGAGAAATAATTACCCTCACTGTCGGCAGGAATGTAAAATGGTGCAATAGCTTTGGAACCGTGTTTAGAGATTCCTCGGAAAGTTAAACATAGATTTACCACATGATCCAGCAACTGTACTCCTAAAGATAGACCTAAAATGCTTGAAAAGAGGTGTTCCAACATAAACTTGTATACCGATGTTCACAGCAGCTCTATTTACAATCCTCAAAAGGCAGGAACACCCCAATTGTCCATCCATGGAAGAATGGATAAAGAAACTGTGGTATATCTATACAGCGGAATACTTAGCCACAAAAAGGAAGGAGATTTTCTACATGCTACAGCATGGATAAACCTTTAAGACCCTATGTTACAGGAAATAAGCCAGACAGGAGAGGCCGTGTATTGCATGATTCCATTTATAGAAAATATCCAGAATACGGCCAGGCACAGTGGCTCACACCTGTAATCCCAGCACGTTGGGAGGCCAAGGTGGGTGGCTCACCTGAGGTCAGGAGTTCAAGACCAGCCTGGCCAATATGGTGAAACCCCCATCTCTACCAAAAATAAAAATTAAAAAAAAAATTAGTGAGGTCTGGTGGTGGGAGCCTATAGTCCCAGCTACTTGAGAGGCTGAGGCAGAATTGCTTGAATCCAGGAGGTGGAGGTTGCGGTGAGCTGAGATTGTGCCATTGCACTCCAGCCTGGGTGACAGAGCAAGACTCTGTCTCAAAAAAAAAAAGAAAGAAAGAAAAGAAAAGAAAATATCCAGAATAGGAAAAAGAGAGACAGAAAGCTGCTTAGCGGTTTTTCAGGGACTGGAAAGAGGGGCCACTGAGGAGTGACCGTTTAGAGGGATGTGGCTCTCCTTTAGGGAGCTGTTTTGTAACTCCACAGAGTTGACAGTTATACGATATTGGGAATGCACTAAATGACACTGAATTACATACTTCAAATGATTGATTTCATGTTAGGTGAATTAGATCTCAAAAAAGACAGAGAGAAATTCAGTATTGATACATCCCACAGAATCAACCCTGGAGACACCATGTTATGTGAAAGAAGCTGGACCCCCCCAAATCGTATGCTGTACGTTCCATGTGTATGGAATAGAAGAAAAAGCTCATAGAAAAAGGAAATAAAGAGGCCGGGCGTGGTGGCTCATGCCTGTAATCCCAGCATTTTGGGAGGTGGAGGTGGGCAGGTCACAAGGTCAGGAGAGACCAGACTGGCCAACACGGTGAAACTCTGTCTCTACCAAAAATACAAAAATTAGCTGGCCGTGCTGGTGTGCACCTGTAGTCCCACTGGCGATGGAGGGAGGCTGAGGCAGGAGAATTGCTTCAACCCAGGAGGCGGAGGTTTCGGTGAGTTGAGACTGCCCCACTACACTCCAGCCTGTCAACAGAGCAAGACTGTCTCAAAAAAAAAAAGAAAAGAAAAGAAAAGAAAAAGAAAATATTTTCATATAGCTATGCCATGTGATTGTCTTAAGATAACTGCTATTGGCCGGGTGCGGTGGCTCAAGCCTGTAATCCCAGCACTTTGGGAGGCCGAGGCGGGTGGATGATGAGGTCAAGAGATCGAGACCATCCTGGTCAACAAGGTGAAACCCCGTCTCTACTAAAAATACAAAAATTAGCTGGGCATGGTGGTGCGCGCCTGTAATCCCAGCTACTCAGGAGGCTGAGGCGGGTGAATTGCTTGAACCCAGGAGGCGGAGGTTTCGGTGAGCCGAGATCGAGCGATTGCACTCCAGCCTGGGTAACAAGAGCGAAACTCCGTCTCAAAAAAAAAAAAAAAAAAAAAAAAAAAAAAAAAAAAAAAAAAAAAAGACCGCTATTACAAAACAGTACAAAAAGTTGAAATAGTAATAATTTTTATAAAGTAATAAGTTTACAGTAAGCTGAGTTCTACCTGCTATTAAAGAAAGAAAGAAAGAAAAGGTTTTTGCTGAATTCAGTGCAGCCTCAGTATACGGTGCTTCTAAGGTCTCCAGCAGTGTAGAGTCATCTCCTAGCCCTTCACATAGACTCAGCGTTCACTCACTCACCTACAGCCACTTCGAGTTCAGCAAACTCCCCTTACGGTAAGTGCCTAGGGCACAGGTATAACTATTTTTTATCTTTTTTTTTTTTTTTTTTGAGATGGAATCTCTGTCTGTCTCCCAGGCTGCAATGCCGTCTACGCTCAATGTAACCTCTGCCTCCTGGATTCAAGCAATTCTCCTGCCTCAGCCTCCCAAGTAGCTGGGACTGAAGGCGCCTGCCACCATGCCTGGCTAATTTTTGTATTTTTTTTTTTTTTTTTTTTGAGACGGAGTTTCACTCTTGGTATCCAGGCTGGAGTGCAATGGCGCGATCTCGGCTCACCACAACCCTCCTGGGTTCAAGCAATTCTCCTGCCTCAGCCTCCCGAGTAGCTGGGACTGCAGGCGTGCACCACCATGCCCACCTAATTTTTGTGTTTTTAGTAGAGACGGGGTTTCACCTTGTTGACCAGGATGGTCTCAATCTCTTGACCTCGTGATCCACCCGCCTCGGCCTCCCAAAGTGCTGGGATTATAGGCGTGAGCCACCGCGCCAGGCTTAATTTTTGTATTTTTAATAGAGACAGGATTTCACCATGTTGGTCAGGCTGGTCTTGAATTCCTGACCTCAGGTGATTCACCTGCCTCAGCCTCCCAAAGTGCTGGGATTACAGGCTCAGGCGCCCAACCTGTTTTTTGGTTTTTTTCTATCTCTTATGCTATATTTTTACTGTGTCTCTTGTATCTATAGACATGCTGAAGTACATAAATGCTTACCAGTGTGTTACAACTGCTTCTGGTACTCAGGGCAGTCACGAGCTGCACAGGCGTGTAGCCCAGGAGTACTGGGCTGCACCAGACTTCGCAGAGTGGACTCTGCCGTCCTGGGCTGTGTGACTGTACTCTACTCTGACGTTGACACAATGATGAAAATGTCTCATGACGTGTGTCTCAGAATACATCCCGGTTGTGAAGTGACACAGGACTGTAGGCTAAAAAATCACTGAATCGTGTCCTTTAACGCTGAACACTTGAAAATTTTATGGTTTGTGAGTTGTCTCATTTTAAAAAATCATCACCTGAGGCTTCTGTCGCCAGGGCCTCCCTCACTCCCCGTCACTCCTGCAGGCCCTGGGCCAAGCTGGCCTACCTCTCACACCGTCCTCCTGGCCCCCAAAATCCCTGGAAGGGCGAGAACTGAGTGTCTGGTCCCTGCGCTAGCAGGTGGCAGTGAGAGCAGAGAAGTGAGGAGACAACGCGAGCAGGAGAGGCTCAGGCTGCACGCCCAGACCAAGCAGGAAGCGTGCTGTGTCTGTGTATCGGGGACAGGGTAGAGGGCAATGCCCACCCCGCACCCCATGCCCCGCCGGTCTACTCCCAGCCTCACTACCGTTGGAGCCGATGAAGCCCCAGCCGGTCACCCAGCAGTCCCGCCGGTGCAGGAACATGAAGGTGGAGGACTCGACGCAAACGGGCTGGACGTGCGCATTGTAGGCGACAGAGGAGGCCAGTCTCAGCAGGGCGATGTCATTGTGTATGACCCCAAAGGCGCCAGGGTTCACAACGATGTCCCGCACTTTGTAACGATTTCTGCGAGTCCGCAGGTTCCAGAAAGGCGGCCTGGAAGTCAGCTCGCCCAACTGGACCGTCCACTCGGAGGGATAATAGTGGCTGCCAGAAAAGGAAAGAGGGTGGGGAGCCCTGGAATGAGGCGCGGGGGGCGCCTGAGCACGCGGGAGGATCTGTCCCTGAGGCGAAGCTGCGGGGTGGCTACTGCCTGCTCGGCCTGCCCCGCCCCGCCCCGGGAGCCCCGCCCCACTCAGGGAGCCCCGCCCCACCCAGGGAGCCCCGCCCCGCCCAGGGAGCCCCGCCCCAGCCAGGGAGCCCCGCCCAGGGGGCCCCGCCCCGCTCGCCCGCCCCGACTCACTTTCGGAAGCAGTGCGCCGCCGAGAGCACCCAGCGGCGGCTGAGCAGGCTCCCTCCACAGCGGTGGCGCCTCCGCAGGCGCAGGCTGGCCTGCCACGGCCAGCGCCCGCGCGCGGATTCCACTCCACCCGCTACCAGCGAGTGCATTTCCCGGTGGCCGCAGGGCTCTGGGATGGACAGATGGATGCGGCTGAGCTGCAGGGGGCAGGCCCGCCCCCTCATCCCGGTCTCGACCCCGGGGTGGACACAGGGAGGGGCGCCCCAGGGAACTGCGCGCCGAGAAGGTGACGCTAGGGACCCTCCCACGCGGTGGGAAGTTGCCAGTCCCACCCCCAGGGCCCATAAGTTACTTGAGAGCTTTACGTTCTCGGGACCTGGAACAGACATGGGTCCCATGCACCCCAGCCCAGCGGCCCTGGCAGGTATCGCGCTTCCTGGCGCCCTACCTGACAACAGCTTCGCCTGCTGCGACTCTGCAGGGTACAAGAAGTGAGCTCCTCGCGGCCTCCACCTCCCGTCCTCCCCACCGCCCCCAGTCCTGCAGGCAGCGCCCCGAGCTCACCGGGCTTCCCGAGTCCGCCCAGCGCCAGCAGCAGCGTCAGCAACAACGCCCCGCGCGCGCCCATGGCCTCCTCTCCCGCTGCCTGGCGCCCCCTCTGCCTCCTCCCGCGCTGGGCCCGGGGCGCCCCCTGGGGGCGGGGGCGGAGCTCTGCCCCCTCCCTCTAGCTTCACCGGCCCTGGGCCCCAAGGGCTGTTGAGGACCCTCATGCCTGGCAGCGCCCTGACTTTCAGCTCCTCGGGGTGGGTCCTCAACCACACTCCTTGATGTGGCCCAGACCCCGTGGACCCCACAGTCCCTTTCTTGTCTGTAGGCTGTGGGGTCCTGACTGCCACTTGGTGCCCCCTGTCCTCCACCCATGACCTCCTCCAGCACCAAGGGCCTAGCCCTGAGCCGGGAGCCCCCTTAAAGCAGGCAGGTAAGGACTTCCTGAGGGCTGCGTGGGGCCTGGCAGCGTGGAAGTGCCCATCCTGTACAGATCCACAGAATGTCACAGCCCGGGGCTCTCAGCCCTACTCCCTGCCCCCTGCCCCACAGGGGGCCCCATACAGCTACCTGGAGCCCACCGCGGGGTCTCCCGCCTTGTGGGAGATGTTTCAGTGAGCCAAGGTAACCTCTGAGTCCAGGTCCACAACACCTGCAGGGCTCCCGCTACTCAGGAAAACCGTCACACTCTTGGTTAGGGTTTAGGGTTTAGAGAGTGAACGGACTCAGGTTAAAGTCGGCAGACGAAAAGGCGCACAGGGCAGAGTGCAGGAGACACCAGGAGGAAGGCCATGGTGAGCGCTCCAGGAGAGGCCTGTGCACACCCGTCACCCTCCCAGCACGGAAGTGTGACAACCAGGGACAATGGCCTAAGCCTTGGCGGCACAGTTTTACTGGAGGTTGGCGGTGTTGGCCTGGAGGAGCTTGAGGCTGACTGACTAACGTCAGCCATGCAGCTCCTCCAGAGGTCCCGTGATACTACATGGCCCGTGGCCCCACCGTCAGTCACGTGGGCACCAGCTGTCTGCCGGGACCCAGGGAGCCAGGTATGCAGAGGCATTCTTATTAGGCAAGACCTTCAAGATCTTAGAGTTTCCCTTAGAGTTTGGATGTGTAGCATCTGAACATCCCAAGCCTGTTGAGTTAACTGTCTGCTGTAAGGCTACCCCGTGGCCCCACAGCAAAAGGATAGTATTTTTCGAAGCATCCATGACTTGGAATACAAGTAACAGCATGGGTGGGCCGGGTGAGGTGGCTGACAACTGTGATCCCAGCACTTTGGGAAGCTGAGGTGGGTGGATCACCAGAGGTCAGAAGTTCAAGACCAGCCTGGCCAACATAGTGAAACCCTGTCTCTACTAAAAATACAAAAAGTAGCCAGATGTGGTGGCAGGCACCCGTAATCCCAGCTACTTGGGAGGCTTAGGCAGGAGAATCGCTTGAACCCAGGAGGCAGAGGCTGCTGTGAGCCAAGACCACGCCACTGCACTCCAGCCTGGGCGACGAGAGCAACACTTGGTCTCAGAATAATAATAGTAATAACAATAGCATGGCCCATCAGGAAAGGACCTGAATCCTTGACCCCAGCTCCCTAGAGACTTCAATGCATTGGCTGTGTGCTTAGCCTGGTGCAGGGAGGGCAGCTTCGACCCCGCAAGCCCTGCCATGTACAGCCTCATAATTAAATATAGCTGGGCCTGCACAATCACACACTGGTTGTCAGTAGGAACATGCCTCACATGTGGAGCAGCCAGTGCGGGGCGGGGAGATTTAAGTAACGGATTTTCCCTCTAAAGCATTACACACAGCGCCATGTAATTGCAGTAGTTTCATGACCTGCACCCTCCATGGTCTACAGCTATTTCTATCCCTCTTTTCTTTGAGATGGAGTCTCTCTGTCGCCCAGGCTGGAGTGCAATCTCCGCCTCCCAGGTTCAAGTGATTATCCTGCCTCAGCCTCCCGAGTAGCTGGGATTACAGGTGCTGGCCACCTTGCTTGGCTAATTTTTGTGTTTTTAGTAGAGATGGGGTTTCACCTTGTTGATCAGGCTGGTCTCAAACTCCTGACCTCACATCTGCCTGCCTCGACCTTCCAAAGTGCTGAGATTACAGGCGTATGCCACCGGGCCCGGACAGCTATTTATATCTCATGATTAGCTTGTACAGAAATATTTAGGGTCCAGATTACCTGTGGTTGACTATCCAGTTCTCAGGCTGTTCATTTTCCATCAGTATCACATCCTAAGGGGGCCTTAACCCTGCCACTCAGTACATTTGATAATATCACTATTATCACATGACACATTTATACGAGGTAGTTGAATTTTTCCCAGCAATGCCAGTGTGACATTACACTGCAATATGGTCCCGGTACAATTCAGTTTCATCATAGAACAAATCACTGAGATTATAGTGACATCTGCTCACCCTTCTCAACAGATCTGATGACCTGAAGAGATCTCTCAGGGTCTTTACTTCCTCCTTAACTTAACAAATTCTTTTTTTTTTGAGATGGCATTTCATTCTTGTTGCCCAGGCTGGAGTGCAATGGTGCAATCCCGCCTCACTGCAACCTCCGGTTCAAGCGATTCTCCTGCCTCAGCCTCCCAAGTAGCTGGGATTAAAGGCACCTGCCACCACGTCCAGCTAATTTTCGTGTTTTAGTAGGGTTTCGCCATGTTGGCTAGGCTGGTCTCCGTCTCCTGATCTCAAGTGGTCCACCTGCCTTGGCCTCCCAGAGTGCTGGGATTACAGGCCTGTATTTAGTTTTTAAGCTCCCTGGTTTTTTTTTGTTTTTTGTTTTTTTTGTCCCCAAATCAAATCCTAAATTAGGCCGCTGACTTAGACTTACTGCTGAAGGCTTATAAAAGCTATAAAAATTAATGACCATGAGATTATAAAATCTGTTTACAGCTTCCAATCAGATCATAAGTTCTAGTACCACCACCTCCAGCCTAATGATCACATATTCTAACAGAGGTATCGGTTAAAGGACTCCCTCCAGCTCCATTTGAAGTAAGTTCCTTACCAGGTGCTGCTAAGTCACAGGGAGTTCACTCCTGAGCACGAGTATCTCATCTCGAAAAGACCCCAAGTCCTGCTGAATTTCAGACAACGATGCCCGTAGTCGACATCAAACTCAAGTTAGCCAAAGCCTCGTCTTCAGACCCCAGAGATGATGACAATCAAAATAAATTGCTTTCATGAGACACAGCTCCCGACCTGTATTCAAAGACATTAAGACTCATTTAAGGCCGGGCGCGGTGGCTCACGCCTGTAATCCCAGCATTTTGGGAGACCGAGGCGTGTGGATCACGAGGTCAAGAGATCGAGACCATCCTGGTCAACATGGTGAAACCCCGTCTCTGCTAAAAATACAAAAAAATTAGCTGGGCATGGTGGCACGTGCCTGTCATCCCCAGCACTTTGGGAGGCTAAGGCAGGAGGATCTCTTGAGCCCAGGAGTGGAGGCCAAGTTGGGCATCATTGCAAGACCCCGTCTGCAGAAAAAAAAATTGCAAGGTGCTGTGGCATGCAGCTGTGGTCCCAGCTACTTGGAAAGCTGAGGTGGGAGGATCACTGGATCCCAGAGGTTAAGGCTGCAGCGAGTAGTGATCGCAACACTGTACACCAGCCTAGTTGACAGAGTGAGACCCTGTGTCTTCATTTTTTTGAGACAGAATCTCACCGTTTCCCAGGCTAGAATGCAGTGGCACTGAAGCAGGAGCAGAGGGGAACAAATCTCTCGAACACTGAATGGAGGAAGGAAGTGGCTTTTTTTTTTGGCCAGGAGCTATGGGGGGCTACAACCTCATTCACCGAGCTCCCCCAGCTGCAGCTTCTCTCCCCTTTCATAGGCTTACAACACTAAAGGGGAAACTGAGGTGGAACTATGTTACTGTTCCTTTGCTGGACATCCGACCTTACAATTTTTTGGCTTTACTGATTTGCTAATTTATATGCAGCATGATTGGGACCGGCAGGGGAGGGGACTTACAGAGACAGGATAAAAACAACAAGCTGTTTGTTGGCAGAGGTGTATCCACGAGGGAGCCTGGCCCATGGAGACGTGGGGTGTGACCCAGTGCGGGGCTCCAGCCGGCAGAGATAGCATTCATTTGCAACTCTTTCAAGGCTAACAGATAGCAGAGACTCTGGGAACCAAAAAGGGAGTCATTTTCCCAACTCCTTGGTATTTTATTTTTTCCTTCCTCCCCTCCTTCCGATCTGGAAGTGGGGGAGGGAGGAGGTGAAATGGAAGGAGGCAAGGGGTCTCCCTTTGAGCGCGATCTTGGCTCACTGCAACTTCCACCTCCTGGGTTCAAGCAATGCTCGTACCTCAGCCTCCTGAGTAGCCAGGATTACAGGCACCCACCATTATGCCTGGCTAATTTTTGTATTTTTAGTAGATGGGGTTTCATCATGTTGGCCAGGCTGGTCTTGAACTCCTGACCTCAAAATGATCCACCCACCTCGCCCTACCAAAGTTCGGGGATTACAGGCATGAGTCACCACACCTGGCCAAGACCCTGTCTTAAGAAAAAAAAGAAAAAAGCACAACTATGGTAGGGCTGCAGAGGAGGCAGGAGGAGGTGACAGAGCAGAGACCGAGGGACAAGAGGAGCTGCCATGCAGAGAGGGACTTGAGAGCCTTCTGGGCATCGAGCACTGTGTGTGAGACCAAGAGGGAACTAGAGGGCTCTGGACCACCCAGACCCCGGTCCTCCACTGGCCTCGAAAGAAGGGGAGTCCCTGTCAGCTGACCCCATGGCATCTTGTTCTGCCATGGCCACCCCAAACCAAAGACTACACTGGTCCCCAAGGTGAAGTCTCCCCCTGCCTCTGGTCAAGTAAGGAGTTCTGCCAGCTTTGAGCCTGTTCCTTTCCAGCTCCAGCTGCTACAGACCCCAGATCTGGAAGGGGGCTGGCCACACTGGGGTCTCTGGGTGGGGCCATCTGGGGCAGGCCTGGGGTCTGAGATGGGATTTCTGGGCATAGTTGTGCTCTGCAGGGAGCCCAGGTCAGGTTTGGAGAGTCGCTGCCAGGGATCCTGCAGCACCCGCCCCACCACTGCTCTCCTCCAGCCCCCAGTTCCAGCACCTTGGCCCAAGTCAGGCTTCCTTTGAGAAACCCAGTGGCCCCTTCCTGCCACCTCTAAATCTCTGCTCAAAGCATCTTTGTTTGAGGCTGGTCCTGTAAAGCCACAGCCCCGCCTTGGCCCTGTTAATCACTCCCTGGCTAAGCCTTGCTCTCTCCTGGACCTTTAAGACCCTGGGCCCCTCCCCCAATCCCAGTCAGCAGAGAGGGCACCAGGCTGTGAGGGTGAGAGCAGGCCAGGGGCTGTGGGGGCAGGCAGGGGCAGCAGGTGGGTAATGATAGGGGAGGATGGGAGAGGGTGAAGATGGGGGAGGGGGGAGAATGAGGGAGGGATGAGGGTTAGAGGGGGGTGAGGATGGGGGAGGGGGTGAGGATGAGGGAGGAGGTGAGGATGGGGAAGGGGGTGAGGATGGGGGATGGGAGGGGGTGAGGATGGAAGGGGTGAGGATGGGGGAAGTTGTGAGGATGAAGGAGGGGGTGAGGATAAAGGAGGAGGAAGATGGGGGAGGGGTGAGGATGAGGGAGAGGGTTAGGCTCTAGGGCTTCAGTGGAGGCCAAGGAGGCCCAAATTTCTGGGTGGTGAGTGTTGCACGCTTGGCCAGACGTGGTCACCTGGGGCCTGGGCAGAAAGAAGGGTATAATGCCTGGACCACGGGGATCAGTCCAAGACCCACCAGGAACTGAAGGACCACAGAGTGGGTGAGGAGGTGGGGTGGGGATTGGTGCCCTGGGCCAGGACCCTCCTCTCTTCTCCCTGCTGGCTCCAGACCAGCGTCCATGTCCTGAGCAGTGCCACCCTTACCTAGCCCAGCTCTGAAGACAAAATGAGGGTGGCTTCCTGTCTCCAAGTCCCGCTCCTTTTGGTGCTGGGTGAGTGGGGACAGGGACTGGGGATGAGGGCTGCATACACCTTGGTTCCCAGGCCTCCCTTCTCACTGCTCTCTGGGCTGGGCTCCCTGAAGCACTCTTGGGCTTTCTAATCTTGATTCCAAGGGCTCAGTCCTCTCTGCCACTGACCTTGGCCTCCCCACACCTCTAAGTGCTTGTTGGTGTCTTGGTCGTACGTCCTACACCTTCACAGTGCTTTGGGGAGGGTTAAATAAGCTAACAGATGGCATGAAAGCCGGGCACAAGGTCAGGGCAACGTAAATGTTTCACCCCCCTTCCTAATCTCTGGCCTCCCCTCCAATCCCATTATTTGACACCAAATCTATAACCTGGTCCCTTCCCTGCTTCTTCCTCCAGGATTTGCTGGGACTCGGGGAAAGAAGTCAGCAGGTGAGGAAGCCTCGGAGTCCACCTTAGTCAGCCCCTCCTGGACCTCTGCCCGTGCTTCCCTGCCCACACTTACCTCCCAGGCCCCTGGTCCTCCGCCAACTCTCGCCACCCCTGGTCCTTTTGCAGCCTGTGGGCAGCCCCGCGTGTCCAGTCGGATCGTGGGGGGCCGGGATGCCCAGGACGGAGAATGGCCGTGGCAGGCGAGCATCCAGCACCGTGGGGCACACGTGTGCGGGGGGTCGCTCATCGCCCCCCAGTGGGTGCTGACGGCAGCACACTGCTTCCCCAGGTCAGCGGTCACCGACAGCCCAGGCGGGGTGTGCAAGGAAGGCAAGGCCCTCGGAGGACAGGGCGTGGCCTGGCAGAAGCCTTGGGCTCGAGGTGGGCTGGTAGAGGTCGAGGACCCAGTGCTGGAAGTAGCCCCCACTCCTGTCCTGCAGGAGGGCACTGCCAGCTGAGTATCGCGTGCGCCTAGGGGCGCTGCATCTGGGCCCCACCTCTCCCCACACGCTCTCAGTGCCCATTCGACGGGTGCTGCTGCCCCCAGACTACTCCGAGGATGGGGCCCGCGGCGACCTGGCACTGCTGCAGCTGTGTCGCCTGGTGCCCCTGAGTGCCCGCGTCCAGCCCGTCTGCCTTCCCGTGCCCAGCGCCCCCCTGCGGCCTGGCACAATGTGCTGGGTCACTGGCTGGGGCAGCCTCCACCCAGGAGGTAAGGCAGGAGGGTGGGGCACAGAGGGCATCAAGGAGCCCCCACCTCCTCCTCCAACTGACTGGAAATCCCAGCCCCTCGCTGCCCCAATCCAGGACCCGGCGCGGCTCTAGGGACCCAACCCTCCTCTCACTCACAGCTCAGCTTCTCCTGCTGACCCCTACTCCACGCCTTCCTCTCAGAGGTTCCTCCTCTTTCTCCAGTGCCCCTCCCAGAGTGGCGACCACTGCAGAAAGTAAGGGTGCCGCTGCTGGACTCTCGAACCTGCGACCGCCTCTACCACGTGGGCACTGACATGTCCCAGGCCAAGCGCATTGTGCCGCCCGGGAGCCTGTGTGCCGGCTACTCCCAGGGCCACAAGGACGCCTGCCAGGTGTGCACCCTGCCTCCCCAGCCTCCAGTCTCCCATCCCTGTGCCCAGCACCCTGCCTCCCTAAAATCCAGGACCCACAACATACCAACTCAGGCTCAGGGTTCTGGCCCCCAACCCAGAGGCACCACCCCAGGGGTCTGGAGCCCGGAGAACAGCTCTGAAGTCACGGGGGGACTGGGATCTAAGTCCCTCTTTCTCCTGCAGGGTGATTCTGGAGGACCCCTGACCTGCCTGCAGTCTGGGAGCTGGGTTCTGGTAGGCGTGGTGAGCTGGGGCAAGGGTTGTGCCCTGCCCAACCGTCCAGGTGTCTACACCAACGTGGCCACATATAGCCCCTGGATTCAGGCTCACATAAGCATCTAATGCGGCTCATGAGGCTGACCTGGAGCCAGCTCCTGGGGTCCCTCAGCCTCCTGGTTCATTCGGGACCCTCCCATACCACAGATCCCTAATAAAGCTAAGGCCGCCCCGCCCCCCTGCCCACCACCTCCTGCCTCCTCTTCTTTTTGGGGCCCATCAGATCTGATTACACCAACCCTCATCAAGGGATCTGCCATGCGTCCTGGGGGTCACACTTCTCGCTCCCTTCCTGGCTTGCATTTAGTTTTCTTAGCCCTGGCCAAGGCTGGGCACAAGGCATGCAGCAGTGGGCAAACCAATTCCTACCCATCTGGCCTGTGCGCCCATCTTTTTCTGGAGAAAGTCTGATTGACAGCATGACAGAGATTTGACACCAGGGAGATTCTTTACAGCTGGCTTTGAAGACGGGGGACCACAGCCTGTGAGCAGCCTCTAGGAGCTGAGAGCAGCCTCTGCCAACAGCCGGCAGGGAATCGGAACCCTCAGACCCACAGCCGCAAGGCACCAGATTCTGGCAGCACCCTGAAGGAGTTGGGAAGTGAGTTCTTCCCCAGCCTCCAGATAAGAGCCCCGCCGGCCAATCCCTTCATTTCAACCTAATGAGACCCTTGGCAGAGAACCTAGCTGAGCCACCTGGACTCCTGACGTACAGAGTTGTGACCTAATAAAGATGTGTTTTAAGCTGCTCCATTTGTGCTGATTTGTTACACAGCAATAAAAACAGAGATTTTGCCTCACTGTGATGGAGGTGTCCCAGTGGAAAGGTGGGCTGGCCAGTGTGGTCACCTCCCCATGTACTCCAAGACGCTGGGCACTTGGCATCACACCCTCAGCCCAGGAGGGGTCAGGGGCCCCCAGGCAGGGCCAGATTCTGTTCTCATTGTGTCTGGCCACCATTCACTCCCAGGGCGGGCATGGGGCCCTGGCTGACCCACACACCTATACCTGAACACCAACAGGTACTCAAATGCAGGTCCTTGCTGACCCTTGGGGTCCCCTTCCAGCCTGGTACCCGGCATCCTGTCCTCTCTGCCATGTCCTTGTCCCCAGAGCCAGGAACACCCATTTCAATTGACAGAGGTCAGTTTCCACAGCTACAGAAGGAAAAAAAACGGAACAAAACCTGGAAAATTCCAAGCCTACTCTGGAGCTGACAGGGACAGTCGGCAGAAGGGAAGACAAGGGAAGGCCAACTTCAAAGGTGCAGCCCATTGAGGCCTAGGCACAGGCCTGAGCCTCGCCTCCCTCCCCTTTTCTCCTGGAGAGCCAGGGAAGTGGGTTATACTAGATAGCAAGGCTGGGCCAGGCCAGGTGGGGCAGGGAGGGTGCTGAAGGCTGCTTGGCCCCCTCGGTGGAGAACAGACTATGCTGCAGTAGGGCCTGGCCACTGTTGGGGTCATCAGGGACCAGGGGCCCAGGACAACAGGGTATGGCCATGGCAGGCCAGCCCACAAAAGACTGCAGGTCCAGCTAAGGAGGCAGGGAGGAGGGTCATCAACGAGAAGAAATCATGACCCTTCATCAAGCCCTCACCAGACACGTGCAGAGGGCGGGCTTCATCGCATCAGCTCATTACATTCCCACAAGAGGCTCTGTGAGGTGGTTTGCCCCATTTGTCAGATGAGAAAACCGAGTCCCAAAAGTCACACTGCCGGCAAGCTTGGAAGACTGGGATTCCAGTCCAGGCATCTGATTCTGGGAGACGCAGAGGTGCTCCGCTCTCTCCACTTCCTCCCACGCCAACAGGGCAGTCTCCCTGCACCTCTCCACTCGCCTGTTCCTGGCATGGTAACCTGCTGAGCCAGGCGAGTGGCAGCTCTTGTCAGCCCCACGCAATTGACCCCATAGGATGGGGCCTGTTTCCCTCTCTGTAATCTGAACTGATAACACCTGCTCTCCCTGGCTGCTAGGGGGTCCAGATGTCAGCCAAGGTGGTCCTCATACTGCCACTGAGCACGTGCACTGTGCCAGGCATGTACCTGCTCTCAGCAGACTTCAGAGCCCCTCAGTGAGATACTCTTCCCATCCCACAGAAGGGGAAACAGGCCCAGAGGTTAGGTGACATGGCCACAGGCCCACAGCTGGTAAGCAGCGGAGTCAGATTTGAACATACCTACCCCACACTCCTAAGGGTTATGGCACATCCCTTATGGAGACAAAAGGAGCTATAAAACACTCTACAAACAAGGCACACTGCTAACTAGTGGTCATGAATAACTACTATGTATTAACACAAAAACAAAGTAGGCCAGGCACCGGGGCTCGTGCTTGTAACCTCCATGTCTTGGGAAGCCGAGGCAGGAGGACTGCTTGAGACCAGCCTGGGCACAAATACTGAAACCCCATCTCTACAAAAAGCACTGTCAGCCAGGCATTGTGGCCGAGCCTGTGGTGCCACTTACTCAGGAGGCTCAGGCGACCCCACTAGATTTCAAGGCTGCAGTGAGTTGTCACGCCACTGCACTCCAGCCTGGATGACAAAGCAACATCTGTGTGCAGGAAAACCTCTCTCAAATCGCCTGTCTACTCTTGTTGCTAGAAAAGAGGGTCCCGATCCAGACCGCGAGAGAGGGTTCTTGGATCTCACATAGGAAGGAATTCTAGGTGAGCCACAGAGCACAGTGAGAGAAGCAAGTTTATTAGAAAAGACTCCGTTGTCCAGGTGCGGTGGCTCACGCCTGTAATCCCAACACTTTGGGAGGCCAAGGCGGGCAGATCACAAGGTCAAGAGATTGAAACCATCCTGGCCAACATGCTGAAACCCCATCTCTACTACAAAATACAAAAATTAGCTGGGTGTGGTGGTACATGCCTGTAGCCCCAGCTACTTGGGAGGCTGAGGCAGGAGAATCCCTTGTACCTGGGAGGCAGAGGTTGCAGTGAGCCGAGACCGAACCACTGCACTCCAGCCTGGCTAGAGAGTGAGACTCTGTCTCAAAAAAAAAAAAAGAACTCAGTTACACAGTGGGCAAGCTCTGAGAACAGAAGGAAGAACTCACTGTCTTTTGTTATTGTCTCTGCTTATAACAAACTGCAGGCCAGGCGAGGTGGCTCATGCCTGCAATCCCAGCAGTTTGCGAGGCTGAGGAGGGCAGATCACCTGAGGTCAGGAGTTCCAGACCAGCCTGACCAATATCTCCATTTTTAGTAGAGATAAAACCCCATCTCTACTAAAAATACAAAAATTAGCTGGGCGCGGTGGCACACACCTGTAACCCCAGCTATTCAGGAGGCGGAGGTTGCAGTGAGCTGAGATGGCGCCTGTGCATTCCATCCTGGGCAACCAAGTGAGGCTTCACTTAAAACTAAAAATAAAAAAAAGAGAAACTACAAGAAGTGGGAAGTAAACCTGCAATGTGCCAATGTGCTCACTAAAGGCCAGGGCTGCTGGTGCCATCCGTGCCCGTTAACCTTCCGCTCGGCCCGCTTGCCGATGCTATCTTAGTAAAGTGGGCTGCGTTCTCAGGACGTCTGGACATCTTTCCGGCCTGCTGGGGGATGTCCTGTATGGCCATAAACGTTTTGTAATTGGAGGTCACCTTAGGATGTGGCTATTTTAGGCCAGGTGTGGTGGCTACTTTGGTAGGCTGAGGCAGGAGGATTGAGTGAGCTCAGTTCAAGACCAGCTTGGGCAACATGGGGAAAGCCCATCTCTACAAAAACTATAAAAATTAGCCAGATGTGGTGATGCATGCCTATAGTCCCAGCTTCTCACTGGACTGAGGGGGGATTATTTGAGCCCGGGAGGCGGAGGCTGCACTCCAATCTGGGTCAGAGAGAGATGCTGTCTAAAAACAAGAATGTCGGCCGGGCGTGGTGGCTCAAGCCTGTAATCCCAGCACTTTGGGAGGCTGAGGCGGGTGGATCACAAGGTCAACAGATCGAGACCATCCTGGTCAACATGGTGAAACCCCGTCTCTACTAAAATTACAAAAAATTAGCTGGGCACGGTGGCGCGTGCCTGTAATCCCAGCTGCTCGGGAGGCTGAGGCAGGAGAATTGCCTGAACCCAGGGGGCGGAGGTTGCAGTGAGCCGAGATCACGCCATTGCACTCCAGCCTGGGTAATAAGAGCGAAACTCCGTCTCCAAAAAAAAAAACAAGAATGTGGCTATTTTCAAACAGCATGAACCTTACAGGTGCCATGTGAGTGCCTAGCTACACATTTTAAGATGGAGTCCCTCTGGTTGTTTTACTAAACCAGAGGCCTGGTAAGCAGAAGTTCCTAACACTCTCACACCAAAATCCCAATCATCAACACAGAAGACTCCTGTGACCAACTGTGGTGGTGGTTTTTCCCACACACACTCAACACTGGACACCAGTGGGGTGTCCTCCGATTCAATTCCGAATCTGCCCAGAGCCAGCATCAGGTCCCACAGGCGGGGCTCAGACGACTGCCTCCCCATCCCCTAGTCACAAATTTGGGCTCCGGAACTTCTGACCAACTGGCTTCAGGTTGGCATTCCCTTGACTCTCCTCTTAGGGTTCAATTAACTTGCTGGACTGACTCACAGAACTCAGGGAAACACGTTCACTGGTTTATCATAAAGGATGTTACAAAGGATATGGATGAAGGGATGTGTAGGGCGAGGTGTGAACTCAAGGAAACACGTTCACTGGTTTATCATAAAGGACGTTACAAAGGATATGGATGAAGGGATGTGTAGGGCGAGGTGTTGGGGAGGGGAACGGAGCCCCCACTCCTCCCTGCGGTGTCACCCTCCAGGAACCCACAGGAGTGGAGCTATGGAGAAACTCTCTAAACCCTGTCCCATAGAGTTTTGATGTAAGCTTCAGGACGACAGCATTCCTTTTTCCAGGAAGAGGGCGGGACCCTTTCTGGGGAGGGTCTTAAGACCTCCAATCAGAAAGGCCCACAGAAGATCAGTCCTGCCTTGGGCATGTGAAAGGAGGGCAAGAGAGAGACCATTCCCCAAGGTCTAACGCACCCTAAAGACACTAGGGCCTTCTCCATCTTAACACCAACCAGTCTGGGATGGGGTGTGAGGGGCATAAAAGGTAGACGGGAGAGAGCAGAAGACAGACTGCAAGGCAGTCTCCGCCTGAAGTCTGAGGTGGGGAGGTGAAGGCTAGTTGAGGAAAGGATCCCAGGAGGATCTTCCCGTGCAGAGAAACAGGTGCAGCCGCCAGTTCCTCCCCACCACTGGACACTCCCATTTCTTGTTAAGGCCCTTAAGGAGGACCTGGACCTCAGAAGACCACATTTCCAAAAGTAACTGGAGACCCCAGGCTAGGCCAGCAATTGGCCCTGCTCCCCAAAAATCCCTCCTGACCCCACTTCTACCGCAGGAGGTACCACTGCACTGAATGACTTGATGGCCTGTCATCTCCTCCTGCAGTTAACCCACGGCGGGGACAGCGCTGTGGGGTGTGGAGACCACCTCTGGAGGCAAGGATTTGTGTTGTGCTGGGTCCAGGTGACCTCTGACAGCAGACAGGCACCATTCACCGCAGCAGCTGGGGAAATGTGACTGCTCACCCAGCATCAGCATACGACTGCAACTGTTGCTGTACGCATGAGCTGATGTGCAGGCATGCTCCCTAATGCCCCAAGGGCTCCACACTGTGTATCCCCCCAAGCCTTGCTGGTAGGAGCTGGGGTTTGAACTCAGGTGATCTGCTCCCTGGGGTACTGGCCCTATGGTTCCTGGTGGACATCCTGA